TCCCACAATTCATCTGGCTTTCGGTCACTGGTGTTCAATGCATCAAATCTATTCTTTAGATGATCTCTAAATTCAGGAGGGATATATTCAAGTAAAAGTATATATACAGTATATTTTATTGTAATTACAAAATGCTTATTGCAGAATAAGTAGGTAGATGGATAGTTGTTGTTCATTGCTGTTGAGTCAGCTCTGAGTCATGGTGGCATGAAGTGTAACTGAATGAAACATCGCGTGCCACTACACCCTCTCCATGATCTTTGATTTGTTTGAGCCCATTATTGAGGCTGTTATAGCATTCCATCTCCTTGAGGATTATCAGTGACCATCTACTAAATAGATAGAGAGATAGGTAGGTAGGTAGGCAGGCAGGCAGATACTATATACATAAAGTCCATAAACACAGCATATGTACTGGGAAGAAAGACCCCAGAAAGACCCCCAAATACATCACTAACCATGATTTCTCTGAAGATTATCTGTGAGGTGCAATTACAGGTGAGCTTTTTAAATTCTTGTTTGCTTATTTGTATAATTGAGTGTATATTCAAGAAGGAACGAATACACAGAGTCACTGTACCAAAGGAATTGGTCAATGTTCAACTATTTCAGGAGGTAACATGATCAAGAACCAATGGTACTGGAGGAAGAAGTCCAAGCTGCACTGAAGGAACTGATTTAAAAAAAAAAAAAAAAAGGCTCCAGAAATTGGCAGAATACCCATTGAGATGTTTCAACAAACAGAGGTAGCGCTGGAGGCACTTACTCATTTATGCCAACAAATTTAGAAGATAGTTAGCTGGCCAACTGACTGGAGGAGATAGATATTTGTGCCCATTCCAAAGAAAGGTGATCCAAGAGAATGTGGAAATTATCGAACAATATCATTAATATTGCATGCAAGTAAAATTTTGCTGAAGATAATTCAAAAACGGTTGCAGCAGTATATTGACAAGGAACTTACAGAAATTCAAGCTGGATTCAGAAGAAGATGTGAAAGGAGGGATATCATTGCTGATGTCAGATGGCTCTTGGCTGAAAGCAAAGAATACCAGAAAGATGTTTACTTGTGTTTTGTTGACTATGCAAAAACATTTGATTGTGTGGATCATAGCAAATTATGGCTAACATTGGGAAGAATGGGAATTCCAGAACACTTAATTGTTCTCATGAGGAACCTGTACAAAGACCATGAGGCTGTGGTTGAACAGAACAAGGGGATACTGCACAGTTTAAAATCAGGAAGCGTGTGCGTCAGGGTTGTATCCTTTCACCATACTTATTCAATCTGTATGCTAAGCAAATAACCCAAGAAGCTGGACTATATGACAAAGAATGTGGCATCAGGGTTAGGGGAAGACTCATTAACAACTTCTGATATGCAGATGACACAGCCTTGCTTGCTGAGAGTGAAGATGACTTGAAGTGCTTACTGATGAAGATCAAAGACGAGAGTCTGCACTATGGATTACACCACAATATAAAGAAAGCAAAAATCCTCACAACTGGACCAATAAACAACATCATGATAAATGGAGAAAAGATTGAAGTTGTCAGGAATTTCATTTTACTTGGATCCACAATCAACACCCATGCAATCAACAGTCAAGAAACCAGACGTTGCATTGCACTGGACAACTCTGCTGCAAAAGACCTCTTTAAAGTGTTAAGAAGCAAAGATGTTACTTTGAACACTAAGGTGCACCTGACCCAAGCCAAGGGCTTTTCAATCACCTCATACGTATGTGAAAGCTGGACAATGAATAAGGAAGACCAAAGAAGAGTTGATGCCTTTGAATTATGCTGTTGGCAGAGAATACTGAAAATACCATGGACTGGCAGAAGAATGAACAAATCTGTCCTGGAAGAAGTGCAGCCAGAATGCTCCTTGGAAGGAGAATGGCCAGGCTTCATCTCACCTACTGTGGTGTTGTCAGAAGAGACCATTCCCTGGAGAAGGATGTCATGCTTGGTAAAGTGGAGAGTCAGTGAAAAAGGGGAAGACCCTCAGTGAGATGGATCGTCACAGTGGCCGCAACGATGGGCTCAAGTATAGCAAGGATTGTGGGGACGGCACAGGACCAGGCAGTGTTTCGTTCTGTTAAACGTGGGGTCGCTATGAGTTGGAACTGACTTGATGGCACCTAACAACAACAACAATATTCAGGAAAGAAGGTGCTATATTATTAACACACATAAGCACACACACACACACACACATACTTGCAATGTATTTACTCCTCTTACCAGACTGTGCAAGGAGCCCTGCTAGCATGGGGTTAAGGACTCACCTGCATAGGTTTGCTGTGAGTCATAATTGACTGAATGGCAACAAGTGACCAGACTGTGCAAAAGTGTGCATGGATAGAGCATGCACGTGCGTGCACACACACACGCGCGCACACATTTGGTCTCTGGGACTTGGAAGGGTATGGTCAGGAGAGTGATTGCTCTCACCCAGCCACTCCATCCCATCCTTCTAAGGGCCAGGCTTCAGAGGACTCAGGGGATTTCTGAAGGAGTGGAGGTTGGGGGCAGTGTCCTGAAGAAGACCCTCACATCAGAGAGCCCTTTTCTCTCCTGAATGGGATGGGGTCCCCCTAGGGTCAGGGGTTGGAAACTGAAGCCTTGGCTTTTGGAAGAGGGGGGCAGAGTCCAAGGCACTGGTTTATTACAGCTCATAAAAATGCTAGGCAGAGCCAGGGCCCCACTATAGGTTGTGGGGAGGAAGTGCACAGCCTGCCCCTTTTTCTGGGGTTGGGTCCTGCTGAGTCCAAGAGACCCCTAAGCATCCCAGGCTTTCATCTGGCCTGGAAGACCCCAAGTGTGAGCCCTTGGCCCCGCATTCCTACACTTGGGACGCCTAGAGTCCAGGAGCCCAGCTCCCAGCAGCAGGCATCCCTCTCCTAGAGGAGGGGGACAGCTGAGTCTCCTCCTGGTTGGAAGGAGGGAAGGTCCAGGTGCCCCCAACTCTCCCTGGCCTGTGCCATCCACTTTCAGTGAGGGCCTGGGCCCTGGGCAGAAACCCTTGTCATCCCCTGGGTGCATGCTCAGGAGCAAGGGTGGGGCACATCTGGCTCCAGCTGTCAGGCGTCGCTGGGCTCCAGGCTCCCAGGGACCTGGCGGGCACCTGCCTCCCCACCCCCCTCACCCTCTCTGGGGCCCTATCTTCCCTTATATGGTGAAGGCAGTGCCTAAGGAGGGGGGGTAGGGACAAAGGTCGCTTTCCTGCAGCTAGCTTTTCACAGCTCCCTGAGATCTCCCAGGTGGTGGCTACCTCCTCTGGACAGGTAAGGCAACCCGTGGGGACACATGGGGACCATAGGTGGTGGGAGCGAACAGGACCCCTGCTTCTTGCCGGCAGCCTGGGTCCTCCTGCAGCACCCTGGGGTGGGCTGCCGGGAACAGGCTGGGCACTGGAGAGCTGGGGAAGAGCAAGGAGCAGCACGTCTGTCCCGAGCCTCTGAGGAAAGAATCCTGCAGCCCTTGCCCCAGCCAACTGTTCTTTCCATCTCCCACCCGCAACTAGCGCCCACCCACTTAGGGAGACCAGTCATCCCTGTTTGCCCTGGACTGAGGAAGGTCTTGGGACATTAAAACTGAGACCATCCCGGGCAGACCAGGTCTAATTGCTCACCACCCTCAGAGACTTCTTCTGCACTCCCTTCCCCCAGCTAGTCTCTTTGCTCATTTCTCCCCCATCTGAATTGATTTCTTTCCCTGTGTTCCCCTGACACTCCTGGGACCTCTCGGCTCTTGCCTCCTGGGTCCCAGAATGTAGGTGGCAGCCATCAAGAATTGAATGGGCAGGGGGTGGTGGCTGCAGCCCACAATAGTGTACACCTGCCTCATCTCCCCTCCACCAGGTCCTCTCCCTGGACCTGCACGTGGCCTTCCCAGCCCTCTGCTGCCAATTCATCCTAAACGAGAGTAGGAGACGGAATAGGGGCCCAGGGCAGACCAGGGCTTTGGGGCAGACAGGAGGCCTGCTCTCGCATCCTCCAGGGCCGCGAGGGCAGAGTCTGTGGTACTGGGCTGGAGGGGTTGGGGGAGGGTCCCCACCCTCTGCTATCATGTGCCTGGGAAGCGGGGGTAGGGGGCGTGAGGGGTCCATATTCCTCCCAGCAATTCATGGGAGATGAGAGAGCTGGGAAGGACCCACCCAGGGGTAAGGGCAGAGGTGTCTGCTCTAACCAACATCAGTAAGGGCAGGAGGAGCAGCTGGCAGGTATCTGTGGGGGTACGGTCTCCTCTCAGAGCCAACCCTCTTTAGGCCCCTTGTCCACCCCTTCCCTAAGGAAGCTGATGGAAGGGCCCCAATCCAGATTTCTTTCCAGGGAGCAAGGGCTCTGGCTTTTTCAAGTCCCTACTGCCCTGAATCCCCTCTGATGGGCAAAAAGTGGTTCCTCATGTCTACCCTCTTATTCCTCTGGATGCCAGTTCAAGCCTAGACTCAGAGCATGTGCCTGGGAGTGACTTTAGAAACCATCTAATTAACTCCCTGCCCCAATATCATAGAAGAAGTGAGAGTCTAACTCACACAGCTGGTGGGTGTCATAAGGAGTCTATCTTGGACCAAGGGGCCATAGACAAAGGTGGTCATTGAGACAAAACAGAAAACTCTCTCCTTTATACCCAAACTAGTTCTGCTGAGCCAGGAGTCCTGGGGGCCCTGACGTGTCTGCAGGTTGAGTAACAACACCTGATGGCAGAGGCAATGGCATCAGACAGGCTCCAGGCATGAGGGGTTTCCTATAAACCCTGAAAGCAAAGTACAGGGGGCTGGGAATGGGTTGGAGGGGGCATTGAGCAGAGGCTGGCTGGGGGGGCCACACCAGAGAGAGGGACCACCCTTCAGGCTCAGCAGTGGGAGTTTCCAAGCAGTAAAAGGCCAGGTCATTATTGATGACTCAAAGTCAAGGTGCAAAGAGAGATTAGATAGTGATTCGGACTTCCTGTCATTATTCATCAGCTCAAGGAGCCTTCATGGCGGGTGACTCTGGGCCAGGTGGGGTGGTGGGCTCCATGGGAATATGGTGGCCACCGGAATGATGGGGGAGGGGCAACAAAACACCTGGATGGGAGCCAGGTATTCTCCACCCTGGCTCTTATCACCCACTTGGGAACTTTTAAAAACCATCCAAGCCCTGACTTCCAAAAGTCAAAATGAAAGTGCCCATACCTGAGCCCCACTCCCACCTAATTAAGTCAGACTCTCTGGGGGTGGGGCTGGGGATGGGAGCAACAGTATGTTTTCAAAGCTCCCCAGGTGATTCCGATGAGCAGCCGATGGTGACCACCAAGGCAACAGGTGAAGCCAGAAAGAGCCGATCATAACAGACACTTGGGTAGAGGAGATTGCTTCCAGCTCAGTGGGCAGATGCTGGTTCACAGGGGGAGGGTTCACTCTTTGGCATTCATTCATTCATTCATTCGGCCAAGTGCTAGCTCTGTTCTAGATGCTGGAGACGGAATACCAGCAAGCAGACATGGTCCCTGCTGTTGTGGGGTTTACATCTTGTAAACACAATAATGATGGAGGGGTGTTTACAGGTAGCTAGGAAGTGGGCAGCAAGAAATTTTTTTTTAAATTGTGGTAAAATATATGTAATGTTAATTTACCATTTTAATGAGTTTAAATCAGGGTAGTTAGTACATTCACAATGTTGGGGACCCACTATCTAGTGTCAGAGCATTTTCATCACCCCAAAAGGAAACCTTGTACCCATTAAGAAGTCACTCCCATTCTTCCCCTCTTCCCACCCCCTGGCAACCACTGATGGGCTGTCTGTCTCCATAACCTGCCTGTTCTGGACATCTCACATAAGTGGAATACAACTATGTGCAGCCTTCGCAACTGGCTTCTTTCAATAAACATAATGTTTTCAAGGCTCCATCATGTCGTTGCATGCATCAGTACTTCATTCCTTCTCATGGATGAATAATACCCACTTTTGCTTATCTATTCACCATTGATGACATTTGGTTTGCTTCCACTCTTTGGCTAATATGAATAGAGCTGTTATAAACATTTGTGTACAGGTTTTTATTTGAACACCTGTTTCTAATTCTTTTGGGTGCATACCCTTTAAAGCCCTTGTTTATTCTTTTTACTTCCCCTTTTATTTTTTATAACTCTGCATTTTTTTTTTAAACCAAGTATGACTTTGATAAAGAAAACATTTCCAAAAAGAAAAATTGTTTGGGGCTAGATACAAAAAAGAACCTGGAATGCAAGCTGAAGAGGGAGAGTGTTATTCAGCAGGTGACAAGAAGCCAAAGATGTTTGAGCAAGCTCAGAGCTGGGTGGGAAGACGGGAGGCTGGGCTCTCGCAATCAGAGTGGGGCGCTAACCCTTCTCCACCCCACGTCCCTGAGCGTGTGGCCGCCTGGTGCATGATGAGAACTCTCTAGGATGGGCTGCAAGGGCAGCTCCTGAACCCAGGGTGCTCCCAGCTCCTCAGCCTCTACTCCCACTTCCCTCTGCTCCAGGCTCCTCCACGATGACCACACTGAGCACCCAGGTCAAAGGCTCTCTCAATGTCAGCACTCCGGGGGTGCAGATCTGGAGGATCGAGGTGAGTACCTGCCTGCGGGAAGGGGTCCTGCAGACCTGGGACAGTGAGGGAAGGGAGAGACCTAGGATGGTGCTTTTTCGCTTCCAGTCGTGCCTGGCTGGCCTGAGCCACCTGCCTTGATGCCCCTACCCGAGCTCCGCCCTTCTCTCCTTGCATCCTCTCCCCTGACCATCCTCTTCCCCTTTTTCCAGTACCTTCTCTTCTCTTTGCTTTCTGTCTACCTTCCACTTTCTCTCCTTCCCTCTATTTCATTTGTCTTTTGTTCTCTTCTTCATTTGTCTGTCAACTTTCCTCTCCATTCCTTCCTCCTTCCCTTTTAAAAAGTATTTTTTATTTCTTAGTAATAATGATAATAAACATAAAGCTATTCTGTACGAATTATATCAATCAAAGTTTGAAAATAATAGAATATTTGAATTTTCAATCTATTGGGAACTTAGGGTCACTGTTGTTAGATGTTGTCAATCGGTCTCTGAGTCACGGAGCCCCCGAGCACCATGGGATCCTATGGCTGTGATCCGTGGGGTTCTCCCTGGCTGCCTGTCAGAGGCAGACCCCCAGGCCTTTCTTCCAGTCTGTCTTGGTCTGGAAGCTCCGCCGATACCTGTCCAGCATCACATAGCAAAGCCTCCATTGACAGGTGGGTGGTGGTTCTGCAGAGGTACGTGACTAGGCATAGAACCTGGATCACCTACATGGAAGGTGAGAGTTCCACCAGAGACCCACCGCTGCATCCTCTAGGATATGATAATTTTTTGTGAAAGGGTTGTACCCCTTGTTTTCAGTGAAATGAAAGTGTTGGTTGCAGCTTTAATGCTTGCTCCAATATCGCTGGATTTGAGTCATGTGACGCAGTGGACTTAAGTTCTCCTCGCTTTTCCTTTGCCTGATCTATTTCCTCTCCTGCCTCACTGTATTTTCCTCCGCCCCTCTTCCTTTTCTGCTTCCTCTAGTTCCTGTGGGCTGCTCTCCTCCTCTGCCCCCTCCTCCCTGCTCTCTGCCTCTCCCAACTCTTCCTGTGGGCTAGGGAGGTAGGAGGCAGGGTCCTGAAAAGCCCAGGGCAGCCCCTGACCTTCTTGTCTCCTTAGGCCATGCAGATGGTGCCTGTTCCTTCCAGCACCTACGGGAACTTCTTTGATGGTGACTGCTACATAGTCCTGGCCGTGAGTGTGGGCCTGGCAGGGGAGGGGTGCACAGGTAGTGAAGGCCACTCACCCACTGGTGTTAGGCTGGGTGGGAAGGAGAGCTGGCCTGGCTTTGTCTGGAGACAGTATTCACTAGGTGTGCCCCGGAGCCCAGCCTTGGGCTGGCTCTGCGGGGGTCAGCGACAAGAGAGGCCTACCTTGCCCTTGAGCCATGGAGCCCTGCTGAGGGCCCTGTCAATGTACTACAGTCTCAGGGGGAATTCTGGATGTCATCTGTTCTGGTTCCCTAGTGCCACTCTGACAAGAATATACCACAAATGGGATGGCTTGAACAAACAGGAGTTTATTCTTAAAATTTGGAGGCTTTAAGTTCAAGTTCAAAGTACTAGGCTCTAGGGGCTGGGTGAAAGCCCTTCAACCTTAGGCTTCAGCTCTGCCTTCTGCTCCCGGCCCACTGGAGCTAGAGGTTTTTCTTCACTCAGACAGTTGCTGGCTGCTGAGACTGACAAACCCAAGGTTGACAAGTAAAAATGCATAGTCCCGATGTTACCAAACCACACAGCAGGCCGTTAAGTCCATTGTAAGTCCCAAGGTCGGCAGAGCATGGCAGGCTGCTGAACAATGACACGGCTACATGCAGGGTTCAAACATGCCGTAAACTAGAGACCATTCCCAAAGCTGTTTCTTATATATGGGATGCAGACCACATACCAAAAGGCAGCTACTCAGCTGCTCATAGTAGACCCCACCATGGAGCTGATTACCAGTCTCATCATGGGGAATACTACATCCACCTACCCAGCCACTCAACCAGGCCCAGCCAAGTTGACACACGAACTTAACCACCACATCACCTTAACTTGAACTCATGTTTCCAAAACCTTTGCTGATCTTCGTATCACCTCTTTGATTTCTGCCACATCCTGGTTCCACCAGTAATATTAATTTATTTGTATATTTCATTATATCGACTCACTTTAACATTTAAATACATTTACTTAAAAATAGAACTCTATATCACCACTGTAAATAGGCATCAATGTCACGTGTCACAAATAGAAAGTAGCTATAAAGTATTCACACAATCAGCACATCTAATACATGTGTTTGGATGCCACCTCATTAGTTCACATACCTTTGATGGACCGTGCACACCACTGTGTGAAATACCACTAACGTCCAACCAAATTATTTCCAACATGAGAAGAGCAAGGCCTTGCAAGGGAAAGGTGCTGAACCCATTGTAGACTGGGGCTGCTACTCAGAGTTCTGTCCACCCACCCAGTGGGCTTCCTTGTGCCATGCTTATAGTGGTCCAGGACTCACGTGGTTTAGGAGACTTTGCAAAGTGGGGAAAGGTAGTGGCTATGGACACCTAGGGCCTCAAATCCACTCACCACCTTTCTCCTCCAGATCCACAAGACAGGCAGCAATATATCCTATGACATCCACTACTGGATTGGCCAGAACTCATCCCAGGATGAGCAGGGTGCAGCCGCAATCTACACCACGCAGATGGATGACTTTCTGAAGGGCCGAGCAGTCCAGCACCGTGAGGTCCAGGGCAACGAGAGTGAGGCCTTCCAAGGCTACTTCAAGCAGGGCCTTATGTAAGAGGGATGAGGCAGGCTGGGAGCAGGCCAGGATTGGCCTGAGACTGGGAGTAGCAGGGGACCAGGGTGGAGATGTGGGATCCAGGACTGAGCTGAGGGGGATGCCCAAGTCTAAGGGCAGACCTGGGCAGTACAAGGTGCTCTGGGGCCAGGAAAGGAGCTTAAGGTTGTGGTGGGAGCCAGTGAGGGGGTCCCCACGTGGCTTTTGGCATTTTTTTCCTTATCTGTCTTCACTCCTCAACTCCATTTCTGCTACTACTTGTCCTTGGCTCTTGTCCCTCCGAGTATGCTTTTGGCTGCCCCACAGGCTGTTCTGAAATGTGTGTACCATGAATTTTCTTCCCTAAATCAATTCCTATGTGGATATCCTGGAGAGCTCAGTGTCTCTGGAGGCCTTCTAGGGAATCACATCAAGTCCCCATCTGGCCAAAAGGCAAATGTCTGCTCTCTCTTTCTGTAAAACAGGCATTTCACACTTAAGACTCAAAGTTCCATATTTTCTTGAAAAGTCTAAAGCTCTGGCCTCCTGGCTTCCCCATGGAAATTCAGTTTGGAGCTGAGTTGCTACTGATGTGTAAGGTGGGCCAGAAGCTCTCTGACCTCCAGTTGGCCACAGTCCTCACCCTTCCCTATTGTCTTACTCTCTCCTCTTCCCACAGTCAGGCTTTTGAGCTGGCACCTCTCCTTCTTATCCTTCTTCACTTCAATTCCCTGCTCTCAGGGTCCTGTCCTTAATCCATACTTCCCACCTTCCACAACACCATGCCCTGATCCGGTGGACTAGCTGGAGGTGAGTGAAGCATCTAGGATGCAAGCTAAGGAGGTCCTCACTCCCCATGTCATGTAAGTGCTTGCAACAGTGACCCTGACTTGGCTCCTTCAAGTTTGCATCCTCAACATTCACCACCTCCCCCTCATCCCAGCCCTGTCCCTCAGGTGGCTCCATCACACCCTCAGGCAGCCCAGGTCTGGGAGGGTATGGGTCTGTCAAACCTCCCAGCCTACTTCCTGGATTAGCTCACCTCTCTCCTCAGTGTTCGCAAAGGAGGCGTGGCTTCCGGGATGAAGAACGTGGAGACTAACTCCTACAATGTCCAGCGGCTGCTCCATGTCAAGGGCAAGAGGAATGTGGTGGCTGGAGAGGTGGGCAGCCCACTGGGGGCAGTGTGACACAGCTTGGGGCATGGCCTCCTGCTACCCTCCCAGGCTGAAGGAAGCCTCAGATGGAGGTCTAGGGTAGAGAGCAGAGGCCGAGGAGGGGAGAACAGCACGGAGGGTGGGGCCAAGAAACGATGGATGGTGGATGGGTCTGAGTAGGGTCTGTTCCCTGCATGGCTCCCCAGGTGGAGATGTCCTGGAAGAGTTTCAACCGTGGTGATGTTTTCCTCCTGGACCTTGGGAAGCTTATCATCCAGTGGAATGGGCCTGAGAGCAACCACATGGAGAGACTCAAGGTGAACTCTGCCACTCATGTACCTGCCCACCCCAGTCAAACTTGCCAAACTCCTGCATGGCCTGATGGGACACCATTCCCTCAGGGCTCTCTCCTCTGGCTCTGTAGGGGTGGGTGTATGGGAAGGTGGATGTGAGTATCTGTGTGCTGGTGGTGAGATGGTGTGTACATAAGAGTTTGTGGGTGTGCTTGGGAGTGCTCATCAATGTGGTAGTCCACCAAGATTTACTGCATCCCTGTTGAGTGGCAAGGAGCCCCTGGGTGGTACAAATGGTTAAGTCCTTGACTACTAGTCTAGAGGTTGGTGGTTCAAACCCGCACAGAAACACCTAAGAAGACAGGCCTGGTGATCTGCTTCCAAGAGGTCACAGCCTTGAAAACCCTATGGAGCAGTTGTACTCTGCACACATGGGGTCGCCATGAGTTGGAATCGACTCGACAGCAACTAACAACAAAAACCATGCAGCAGACCTTGTGCCAGGCTCTGGGCATCTGGTGGTGAATGAAATGGGCAGAAACTTGCCCCCCAGAGTTGGCCATCCAGTAGGGGAAAAACTGGCTTTTCTTAGAAGGGAATCCCCAGAGAGCTGAGGAGCAGATGCATGGCACTGGGGGTTCAGGGAAAGCTTCTGGGAGGAGGAGGAGGTGGGGACAAGGCCCCAAGGCAGGCGAGATAGTGGTTGGCCAGGGTCTGCTAGGAGTAGTGTGGGCCGGTCTCATGGGGCTAGGCTTACAGGCTGTGATTGGGTTTTATTCTCAGGGCTGTGGGAGGCTGCTGACAAATTTTAACGAGTAAGGGACATGGTCTGATCTAAGATCCTTTTCACTCCTTCAAGGAGATGAGGAGGAGTGGAAGGCAAGGGGAAGTAGGAGCCCCTGTAGCCACCCATGGAGGGGGGAGGGTGTGCAGACTCAGACTTGGATGGTGGAAGCCACAGGGTTGACTTGTGTGCGGGAGGGGTGAGGAGGAAGGGAGTGAGGCAGAAGTGGAAGGCCTTAGGATGGGCAACTGTGAGGATGGATGGGAGTCCCATTTCCTGAGAGCAGACAGATGAGGAAGCAACAGATTAGGAGAGAAAATCAAGAATTCCCTTTTGGACATCTTAAGTGGTCTTCTTGGAATTTGGGATAAACAAAACGAGAGCAGAGAGCTGGGCTAGAGACAGCAATGTGGGCACTGGTGGTGTAGAGGAGGCATCAAACGTCCCGCAAGGCTGGGAGTGCAGAGAAGGAAGGGAGCCTAGGGTTAAAATGTGAAAACCAGAACATGAAAGTCAGGCTGAGGAGGATGAGCCAGAATGTGTGTGTGTGTGAGTGAGTGAGCCTGTGTGAGTATGTGTGTGTGAGTGTGTATGTGTGAGTGTATGTAAGGGTGTATGAGTGTAATTGTGTGAATGTGTGAGTGTATGTGTGAGTGTGTATGAATGTGTGTGTGAGCAAACGTGTGTGTGAGCATGTGTGAGGGTGTGAGTGTGTGCATGTGAGTGTGTGTATGAATGTGTGTGTATGTGTGAGTGTGGGTATGTGTGTATGAGTGTGAGTGTATGTGTGTATGAGTGTGTGCATTGTGTGTGCACATGTGTGTATGTATGAGTGTGTGTGAATGTATGAGTGTATATGTGTATGAGTGTGGATTAGTGCATGTGTGTATGTGTGAGTGTGTATGAGTGTGAATGAGTGTGTGTGTGAGGACGTAAGTATGCTGCAGGTACATGTCTATGTACATGTGAGCACAAGTGAGAGTGTTCATTCTGTGTGTGTGATTGTTTATGTATCTGTATGTATGTGTGAGCATATGAGACTTATGTGTGTATGTGCAAGACTGCTGTACGTGTGTGAGTGTGTGCATACACTCGTGTGTGAATGTGTGTGCATACGTGTGCACGTATGTGCGCAGGTTTTGAGGCAAAGAGACTGAGTTCTGTGATCCTCGGGCCTCAGCTGTTGTCCAAAACTGTGAAGTCACAAAGTTCAGAAAGTGCCAAAACCGAGGGCCTGAAAAGTGCACTCAAACACCACGCCTGCCTGCCGAGGAGAGAGCCTGCTTTCCCACCTGGTTTCCTACACACGCCTTAAAGGCGAGTCCCGGGCGGCATTAAAGGGGAAGTGGGGCAGGTGCCTCAGTGCTTGGGGCTGCTGCCGGCTGGGCTGGGGCTCACCCAGTGTGGTGGTGATGGTGGACGCTGCTTTGTGCTTCATCCTTCATGGGTCACCCGGGGCCTGTCTACAGGGTATGACCCTGGCCAAGGAGATCCGAGACCAGGAGCGGGGTGGGCGTGCCTACGTGGGCGTGGTGGAGGGGGAGAACGAGATGGCGACCCCGCAGCTGATGGAGGTGATGACCCACGTGCTGGGCCAGCGGAGGGAGCTGAAGGCAGCTGTGCCTGACACGGTGGTGGAGCCCGCGCTCAAGGCCTCCCTCAAGCTGTACCAGTGAGTGACCAGCTGGGAACGGCCTGGGTGCTGGGGGACTTCCTGGGCAGGGCCCCCAGCTGGCAGACCGAGGACCCTTCCCGAACTATGTCCGCCTTTGTCTGCAGTGTGTCTGACTCGGAGGGAAAACTAGTGGTTAGTGAAGTTGCCACGCGGCCTCTCACACAGGACCTGCTCAGGCATGAGGTGAGCCACAGTTCTCAACTGATCCATCTCTCCTCCAAGCAGGAGAAATTCCAGCAGGCTGGGCTAGCTAGGCATGGGAAGGCAACAGACTTAGAGAGAGAGAGAGAGAGAGAGAGAGACAAAGGGAGAAAGGGAGAAAGGGAGAAAGATAGATATATCTTTTTCTTTTTTTTGGTGAAAATATATATATAAAACATACACCAATTCAATAATTTCTACCTATACTATTGTTACATTGATTACATTTCTCAAGTTATACAACCATTTCTTGCTATCCTTTTTTTCTGAATTATTCCACCATCATTACGAAGTCCTCTAAGCTTCCTATCTAGCCTTTTGAGTTGCTGTGGTCATTTTGATCACATATAGATAATTATTTTAAAGAGCACAATACTCACGACAGATATTCTTACTTATTAAGCTCAACTTACTTGGTTTCAAGATAACTTCAGATGAAAGCTTTGGTTTAAGGTTAACATTTCAAGATTATCTCAGAGCAATAGTTTTGGGGCTTGATCCAGCATGAATGGCTCCAAAAAGACTGGAATCTATGACAATTTAAAATTCTATTCCACATTTTCCCCCTTTTGATTAGCAGGAGACCCTTTCTGTGCCTAAAACTCCTGGGTCCAGCACTCCGGCATCCCCAGACTCTCACTCTTTGTCTTTCTCTGTCACCTCTAGGACTGTTACATCCTGGACCAAGGGGGCCTGAAGATCTTTGTGTGGAAAGGGAAGAATGCCAATGTCCAGGAGAAGAAGGAAGCCATGAACCAGGCCCTGGTAGGAGTGGGTGTTGGGGAGGAGGGGGAGCTGTGAGGAAGAGGGAGAGTGATGGGAGAGGAGAGACACAGAGACACTGGCCGGAGAAGGAAAAGGGGTTCAGACAGGACACAGCCCCAGGAGGCAGAGGCTGGGGAAGACTTTGGGGAGGGGCTGGGCAGGGGCTGGGCCTCACCCAGCTGTGGGGGTCCATTCTGTAGCCACTTGGGGTTTCTGCACACCAGAGAGCCAAGCCCCAGGCAGCCCTGGGGTCTTCTGAGGATGCGATCCTTCACTTCCCTGGACTTGGGCCTGGGTCGGTGGAGAGAGGAGGAATGGAGACTGGTCTTTATCTTAGCTCCCAGGGGTTTGGGCCAGGCTTAGAGCTGGAGGCATGTTGGGGCTGGAGTCAGTAACCCTAAGTGGCTTGGAGTCAGTGGTAGATTGGTAGTTGAGTTCAGGGCTGAGTTGGAGATGGAAGGTCAGCGTTAGAATTGAGGCTAGGTCAAGTTTGAGGTCAGATTTGGCCTTGGGGTTGGGGTCAGAATTGGGATTGAGGTTGAGTTGAGGTTTGGATTTGGGACTAGGGTTAGATTTGACCTTGGGTCTGGTTGGGGTTAGAGACAGGCTTTGGCTTGCATAGGGGGTAGGGGCTAGGGAAGGGACATAGCCCCCAACCATCCCCTTTTCTACCCAGAACTTTATCAAAGCCAAGAAGTACCCAGACAACACACAGGTGGAGGTGCAGAATGATGGGGCAGAGTCTGCGGTCTTCCAGCAACTCTTTCAGAAGTGGACAGTGCCCAACCGGACGTCTGGCCTGGGCAAAACCCACACTGTGGGCTCCGTGGGTGAGGGCCAAGCCAGGGCAGGGCTTGGGGAGATGGTGGTGAACCCCAGAGCAGGTCAAGAGAACACCCTTGACCTGCCTTTCTCTTCCCTTCCCAACTCATTTCTCATATGAATGCTTTTACCCTGGCTTTGGGCTCCCCCGGGTAGGGTGGGAGACACAAGTAAACATGGATAAACTTAAGAGTCATCATTAAAGGGCCCTGGGAACTACCTGCCTTTCATTTGGAGTGGGGTTTGCTCTCCCTGGGAGCTCTCACAGGCAGTATTTGCTGAGGGCAAGCTCAGCATCCGGCCCCTGGGGAAAGTATGAAAGGATTGTGTAAGCCCCATTATCGAGCAGCTCCCTGTTGAGCTGGGATTCTGCAGGGATCAGGACATGGGCAGATCATCACATCCTGCCCTGTGTTCTTCCCCTGGCTCCCCTGGAGGCACTGGTGATTCATGAGTCTTAGGGGCAAGAGATTTGTTATGTATTATGGTGTTGCCCCTCTAACTCTGTGACCTCAGGTAAGCCACTGAATCTCTCTAGCCTCAGTTTCCTCATCTGCAAAATGGGTATAGGAATTGTAGCCCCCCCATCACAGCTGTTGTGAGGAGCCAGGGGACCAGGCTCTAAAATACAGGTTGGGCAACCAGCACATCCTCAGCTGGTGACATGTTGTGTCTTGATTCCCCCAACCCTAGCCAAGGTGGAGCAGGTGAAATTTGATGCTGCGTCCATGCACATCAAGCCTCAGGTGGCTGCTCGGCAGAAGATGGTAGACGACGGGAGTGGGGAAGTGCAGGTACGGCTAGGGGAGAGGAGCCACCATGGGTAGGGTGGGGGCGGCGGAGCCTGGCTGCACCTCATGGCCTGACATCGGGCCCAGATGTGGCGCATCGAGGACCTGGAGCTGGTGCCTGTGGATTCCAAGTGGTTAGGCCACTTCTACGGGGGTGACTGCTATCTGCTGCTCTACACCTACCTCATCGGTGACAAGAAGCACTACCTGCTCTACATCTGGCAGGTCAGGCCCCACCTGCCCCTTCCACCATACCTCTGACAAGTAGCCATCACCCTTGAGTTGAATATCTCTGGTGATGGGGGGCTCACCCGTCAAGAGGCAGTTTGTTCGATCGTAGGGCTGCCGTGACTGTGAGAGCCCACTGACATGGAGTACCCCATTCATGACCCCTTTCCTTTTTGGTTCTCTGAGTCTCCTGTCCCATTTCCATCACATCCTGCACACTCCCTGTGCTCTGCCTAGTTGTGTGTGTTTCCATGTCCAGAAGTGAGGGTTCAGGGAGGCTGGGGGTAAGTAGTCTGTACCCACGATGCTTCCCCAAGGGAGGTACGGTAAGGAGGAAAAGAGGTATGGGGTCAAGGCTGGGTTGCAGGTAAGTCTGAGGCTAGGAAAAGGTTAGGTGTGAGGCTGGGATCAGAGTTGAAGTGGTCTGAGTCAAGTGATGTTTTTGTCCATTTCCAGGCTGGGACTGGGTGGAGAGGACAGTTCAGTTTGAGGCCAGGTCAGACCTAGGCGGAGTTGTTGCTGAGGCTGAGGTCTGGGTTGGGGGCTGACTCCATCTTACTCTTCCTCCTGCTCCTCCCAGGGCAGCCAGGCCAGCCAGGATGAAATCGCAGCCTCAGCCTATCAAGCCGTCATCCTGGACCAGAAGTACAATGATGAAGCAGTACAGATCCGAGTCCCAATGGGCAAGGAGCCGGACCACCTCATGTCCATCTTCAAGGGACGAATGGTGGTCTACCAGGTACAGCTGCTGGACTGAGGTGCCTGACAGTATCCACAACCAAGAGGGGGTGGGCATGTGGGAGGTGAGGCAGGACAAGAGCCCTGTCTGCAGGAGGGTCTGTGGGGTGAGGGTGTGGAAGGGACCCAGGGAAGGGAAGGCCTGTTCTTGGTAGGAGGGGACCGTTGAAGGCTCCCTCACCTACGTGGAAACTGATAATATAAACCACCATTCCATCACTACAAATATCTTTTTTTAATTTACTTTTATTGTGGTGAAAACACGTACACCAAGACATTCACCAACATAACAACTTCCCCATTTACAGCTCAGGGACATAGATGACACTTTTTATGTTGTGCCACCATTAGTGCTATTCTTTTCTAAAATATTCCACCACCATGAGCATGAACTCAATGTTCTGCAAACAAAACCTTCCCCCTCCTCCTTCCTCCTACCCCTGGTAACAACTAATAATCTTTGGTGTATACACACACACATATACATACACACATTTTTAAAGCTATCTAGCAATCTTCCCTCCCCCTCCCCCATCCCTGGTAACAACAAGGTTTCCCTTCCATATGTAAATCTTTCCTTGATTGTTCACAATAGTGGACCAATAGAATAGCTGTCCTTCTGGGATTGACTTATTTCACTCAACATAATGTTCTCCAAGTTCACTCATGTTACGTGATGTTTTGAGGACATTCAACCATTTTTTAAAATGCATGTAATGAGCATCTACTGTGTCCCTAGTACTTTCCACACATCAACTCCTAGAATCTTCTTCAAAAAGGAAGTTGTTTTGACTAAATTTGCTTAAACAACACACCTGTCCAAACTGCATCAGGGAATCTCAACGTAGGGAGATAGTCCTCTCATGCAGGCAATACATCCAGAACCTATTTATTGAGCACCTGTGTACCAAAGTACACAGCACTTTGCAAAATTCCTAGGTGGGAGAAGAATTGTCTGCTGATACTTCTACCATCTTGGGAGCCAAAAGACACATGTTATGCTTGAGAGGTGAACTCAGAGCCTCAGGCACAGAGGGGGTTAAGCACCAGAAAGAAAAGTTGAGTTCAGAGTGGGGTGTGAATACACTGATCTGGGAATAGACACAGAATTCATGATGGAAAAGGGATTTTGAGGCAGTCTTGACTTGGATCAGAGTTGCAGAGCTTAACAGAGTAAAATGGGGCCTGCGTTGCAGGTCACAGCCCCAAGGAAGGCGCCATGGATGGTGCGAAGCCTGGCCTAGCTAATCTGGAGGGAGTGGGAGAGCAGTGAGTCTAGAAAGGCAGTTTGCAACTTCCTCCTGTGGGACCACCGTGAGACACTCAGCCGAGGAACTAGTTGCAGGTGACTCCAACTCACGGTGGTGACCCCACGTGTCTGAGGGTAGAACTGTGCTCCAAGGGTGTTTAATGGCTGATTTAAATAGCCAGGCCTTTTTTTTTTTTTTTTAATTGTGATTTGGGTGAAAATTTACAGAGCAAATTCACTTTCCATACAGCAGTTCACATACTTTGTCTCATGACACTGAGTACAATTTACCATAATGCAACAGCTTCCTTCCCACCTCCTCCCCATAGTTACCTCTTCCCTGTGTCCATCCCTCCATGCACTCCTGCCCCCTGAGCTGTCTCCCTGTGCATAAACAGCCCTTCTTTCTCCCACGATTGTTCCCTCCAAGGAGTATATCCACCTCAGGTAAATGTTCAACTCATATACCTGTCTTTTGTTTGGCTGGAAGCCACAGGAGTGGGTTCAATTCCAGACCTGAAGGGCAGCTAGGGGCCATAGTCTCAGTGGTTCCACCAGGCTCTGTCAGACCAGCAAACCTGGTTCCCCCCCACTTTTTGTTTTCCCAAATGATTTTGAGTTTTGTTCCACATTGTTCTCCCTCTCTATCCAGGATCTCCTACATAGATCCCCCTCTGAGTGGTTGACAGTGGTAGCAAGGCACCATCTAATTCTTCTGGTCTCATAATCATATAGGCTATGGATTGCATGATATACCAGTCACTAGGACTGATTGTTTCCATGAATTTTTGGTTTTCTTCATTCTTCTTTGCTCTGGATGAGGAGAGAGCCATCGTTGCTTCTACATGGCTGCTTGCAAGGTTTTAAGATCCCAGTCGCTACTTGCCAAACTAGGAGGTGGAACAGTGTTTTGTAGAGTATGTTATGCCAATTTAACTTGATGTCCCCTGAGACTATGGTCCCGAGCCCACAGGTCCAACTTCTCGGTCCCTCTGGGCGGCTTAGCCAGGCTTTCTTCCCAGGCTCTTCTCGGTGGGCCGAACCTTCACATTTCCTGTTAGCAGCCAAGCACATTAACCTTTTGTACTGCCCGGGGAGTCTCCAGGTTGAGGAGCTTGGATCTTATTCTGTAAGCAGTAGGGAGCCATGGAAGGTGTTTGATCAGAGACATCCATAACCAAAGCAATGTTTTGACAAGATTAGTTTGTATGCCTGTTGGTGTATCAAAGGAAGTGGAGGGTGAAGAGCCAAGGGACATGCTGACCCCACCCCACCTCTCTTCCTCTCGGGTTCTCTTCATCACGATCTTCTTTACTGAGTTACTCCTCCTCTTTCTTGGCCTTCTCCCCACACCCTGCAGGGAGGCACCTCTCGGGCTAACAGCTCAGAGCCAGCACCCTCCACACAGCTGTTCCAGGTTCGGGGCACCAGCACAAACAACACCAAGGCCTTTGAGGTCCCAGCCCGGGCCAACTCCCTCAACTCCAATGATGTCTTCATCCTCAAGACCCCATCCTGCTGCTACCTGTGGTATGGGAAGGTGTGTGTGCAGGCCCAGGGGTCCCCATCCCCAGATGGAGTCTTGGGGTTCCCCAGCCTCTGAGTAGACCTGGGTCATGTTGAGACCTCAGACGGAGTCCTGTTTGCTCATTTCTCTGCTGCCTCCCCAGCTCTGGGTCTTTCTGCTCCATCTCTAGCCAGGCTTTAGGTTCTCATCCTCTAAGTCTGAGTCAGTCTCTCTTGTTTTGTTTGGCTCCAGCACCTCTGCCTGTCCCAGTGTTGGTCTGTCTCTATGTCTTAGGCTCTCTATCTCTGTGCCTGCTTCTGTCTCCCCATTTACCTCTGGGACAAGGACTCTCAGCCTCTTGGAGTCCTTCTCCTGCTCTCTAAGGGACATGCAAACTTTTGCCTCCTCTGCCATTCTTTGGAGCACCAAGGACAGAGGGGAGGATGGGAGAATGGGCCCTCCTATGGCTGTACCTAGGATCTGATCTAGAGAGCCTCCTCAGACTCCAAAGCTCTAGGGGAGGGGATGGCCAAGAGGTAGTGCTAGACATGGTCTCCCCCAGCCCAGCTGATCCCTTCCTTTTCCTAGGGTTGTAGTGGGGACGAGCGGGAGATGGCCAAGATGGTGGCTGACATCATCTCACGAACGGAGAAGCAAGTGGTTGTGGAAGGGCAGGAGCCAGCCAACTTCTGGATGGCCTTGGGTGGGAAGGCCCCCTATGCCAACTCCAAGAGGTAACTAGCTGGTCTCTCTGCCTCTGGTCCCTCTTCTGAGGCTGGAGAGCCTCCTAGCACCTTCACCCACATGGTCCAGAGCCTAAGGCAGGCACAGACTGGAGACTGGGTGCCAGTCCCCCAGGGCTATTAGATGGATCAGGGGCAGTCATTCCTTGGAGCCTCTTGGGAACAGGGGCTGTGTCTCTACTGCTCATATTAGGGAATGCCTGGGAAGTAGGGGTCTTCCATGGGCAGGGGGAGTTCACAGGCACAGGAGACAATGCAAAGCAAGGGCCAGGTTATAGGTTTGCCCTTCAGGCCCTGGATGTGGGAGAGCAAAAAATTCTCTTTCAAAGAGTTTTCCTAAAGAATATCCATGCTCTACTGTTTTCCGGTTCAAAAGCAAAAGGGCCTGGGCTGCAGTAGCAGCAGGAGGGATGGAGGGGAAATACCAGAAAGAGTTTCTTAACAGGCCTGTAGATGAGTCAGTAGAGTGCATGTCCTGGAATTTTCTCCTGGGGAAGCTTTTGGGATGAGGGAGAGTCCTTCTGTGTATTCAGAAAAGAGGCCACGTTACTAGGAGATGGCCTTTCCATTTTGTTTCTGTTTGCCATTGAGTCGATTACGACCCATTGTGACCCTGTGTGGTGATAGGATGGCCTCATAGAGATATGTAGGCTGATTGCCAGCTCTTTCTCTTAAAGAGCTCCTGAGTGGATTCAAACTGCCAACCTTTTGGTTAGTAGCCAAGGACTTAACTGTTGTGCCACCAAGGCTTCTCTTTCCGTTTTAGAGTCCCTCAAAGTTCAGTGTCTTGATTCTCTTACCCCCCATCTTTCTCCACCAACATGATTTTCTCTCTATCCTGCAGGTTGCAGGAAGAAACCATGACCATCACCCCTCGGCTCTTTGAGTGTTCCAACCAAACTGGGCGCTTCCTGGCTACAGAAATCCCTGACTTCAATCAAGATGACTTGGAAGAGGAAGACGTGTTCCTGCTTGATGTCTGGGACCAGGTAAGACAAGGGCCTGGAGCTTGCCTCAGTCTCCTGGAATGAGAAAGAGTAGGCATCAACATTTTTGCTCCCTGGGAACTGTCTTATGAACAGCAGGAAATCTGAGAAGGAAGAAGAAAGGGGCCCCTGGATAGGATGTCTTCTTCTCCACTCAATGTCTAATTCTTCTCACATGGCAGCAGGAGTGGTTTTGAGGATCTGAGCTCCAGATCCTCTGACAACCTCCTCAGTTCCTAGGTGCAAAAGTCAGGGCCCAGAGCAAAAGAGGGCTGGGTGGTGGCAGAGCCTGGAATCAACTGTTGGATGTCCAAGTCTGGGATGAACTGAGGTGGAGCCCTGTGGGCCAGGGAAAAACAGGAAGGACTAATTAAGCCCCGGGATTCTCAACAGGTCTTCTTCTGGATTGGGAAGAATGCCAGAGAGGATGAGAAGAAGGCAGCAGCCGTCACAGTGCAAGAGTACCTCAAGACCCACCCCAGCGGTCGTGACCCTAACACCCCCATCATTGTGGTGAAGCAGGGACACGAACCCCCCACCTTCACAGGCTGGTTCCTGGCTTGGGACCCCTTCAAGTGGAGTGTGAGTGAGCTTGCCCAGCCTACCCTTCTCTGTGTGGCTTCTTCACGGCACAGTTCTGAGAGCAGTGCTGACTCCCACAGGATTTCCTGTTCCCTTCTGATATACGACTTTCTTATTCGTACTGGATTAGAGGGGACTTGGAGTCCCTGGGTGATGGAAAAAGTTTTTGAACTCAGCTGCTAACTGAAAGGTTGGAGGTGTGATTCCACCCAGAAGCTCCTCAGAAGAAAAATCTGACAATCTCTCCTTTCATAAAAATCAGCCACTGAAAATCCTATATGTTTTCAGTGGAAAACAAATGTTTTCCTAGCCCTAAAATCTAAGCAGAATGGTTCATATACACGTAGTACTTCCACCGAGTGGCTGCTAAACCAACCCCGATAAAAGCAGAGCCCTGGGAGTGGGTCCTCACAGTAGAACCCCAGTGAAGCTTTCCTGCAGGAGGGAGGAAGGCCAAGGTAGAGTGAGTCCCACCTTGGTGCTTTCTGGGCTCTAAACTGATGCAACAGAGCCCTGGTGGTGCACTGGTTAAGCGCCGGGCTGCTGACTGAAAGGTCAGCAATGTATCAGCTACTCTGTGAGAGAGAAGATCTATGGATCTGTTTCTGTAAGGATTACAGCCTAGGAAACTCTATGGAGCAAGTCTACTCTGTGATATAGGGTCTCTGTGAGTTGGAATCAACCCAGCTGCATACAGCAACAAAATTGGTGCAATAATAAAGCTTAGGGAACCTGGAGAGTTGAGGTAAATTTGCTAATTTTTTTTTTTAAATTCAGTGATTGAAGGGCAGATTGAGTTTACTGTTGAACCTGGAATGAAACAAATCTCCAGGCTGCAAATCTAGATGCCAGAACTTCTCAGATCCTCATCAGTACCCCAAGTCGACAACCCTGTCAGCCTTCTCCTCCCCTAAGTCTGTGCTGGCTTCTTTCTCAGCCTCATTAATTCGTTCATTCAGCCCAGCATAAATGATGTGTCAAGTTTAGTGCCAGGCACTGGAGATATGGAGATGTGGCCATGGTACCTTCCACCACCTTCACTCCTCTCTGGCAGGGTTTTTCCCCAACTCTGTGAGGCAGCTCCTCAGTTCTCCAGGACCCCGAATGCCCCAGAGCCCACACAGTGTCAGCAGGTTCTCAAGGCTGTGTGAGGCTGCCTGCACTGGTACCCAACGGTAGAGGAGGTCCTGCTCCTCGCCACCCCCACGTTGGGCTGAGTGGGAACAGATAACCCCTTTGACTCCATGCTCACCAGCTAACCTTTTCCAGGGACCCACCACAAGCCTTAGCCAGAGCTACCCCTCCTCCTCCTCATCACCAGGCCCAGTGCCAGCCCTCTTTCAACTCTGAAGGAAAATGGCCTTTCTTCCTGCCTGCTAAGGTCTATGTCTATTTGTCACTCACTGTACATGCAGAATGCCAAATCCTACGAGGACCTGAAGATGGAACTTGGAAACCCTGGGGACTGGGACCAGTTCACAGCTGTGAGTACGAGGCAGCGGGGCTGGCGCTGGCCTTCTCGCTCATCACCTTGACTCTGTGCCAGATGGCTGGGCCTACAGTGTCAGAAAGCTCCAGAGAAGAGGCAACGTCCTCCCATTTTCCCCAACTTCTTATGGAAGCTCTTCTTGCTATTTGGTTTATATGCCTGGAGTTGTTGTTTCTCTTCTTTTTCTTAGTGAAATGGTTCTCAAATTTTATCATGCATAAGAGTCTGGGTGATGGGGTAGGGAAAGCTTATTAAAATGAAGATTCCGAGGCCTGCTCCCAAAGATTCTGGTTTTGTAGAACTGGGTTGGGACCTAGGAACCTGCATGTTTTTAACAAAGGGCCCAAGTAATTTGATAGTTAGTCCATGGACTGCACTTCAAGAAATAATGATTCCTCTCTATGCTGTCACTTTTGGGATCTCTTCTCCGCATAGGGTAACTGCGACACCTTTAATTTTTCAATTACTTGACAGAAATGTATTTAGTCTTTAGACCACTGGCCTGGGATATGGAAATATGAAATCAAAAAGCCTTTCTTTCAAGAGTTCACAGGCTTACAGGGGAGGTCAGACAGAGTAGGTGATGCAGAATGTGAGAGCAATTTCACAAGCACACTGGGGTGATCAATAGCGAACACACAGGGCACCTCTACCCAAACACAGGCTGAGTATACCTGTGGCCCTCAATATATTTTTCTTGGTAGACTAACCTTGAAGGCTGAAAAGCACAAATAGGGCAAGGTTAAGTGAATTTACAGGAGCTCTGGTGGCACACTACTTAGCAACCAAGCAGAAAGGTCTGTGGTTCGAACCCACCAGCCCCTTTATGGGAGAAAAGGCTCAAGGATCTGCTCCTGCAAAGATTACAGCTTAGGAAACTGTGGGGAAGTTCTACTCTGCCCTTTATGGTCTCTGTGAGTCAGAACTGACTTGATGGCACACAACAACAAATGAATTTAAGGATGAGAATTTCACAATGGATATAGGTGAGAGGGTCACAAATGGCCAGAGTAATCTCAAACATCTGGGTGAAGCCATGGAGAAGGGAGGTTATTGAACAAAACACCCATCTTGTACCAATAGGCTTTGGTTGGACAAAGATCACTAAGCTCTTAGCTTGTGGATCTAATCCAGAGTATGTTTCCTTATGAGGAATGGGGGGGTGCGCCATGACTGATGATGTGGGAATGGAAGAGTCAAGAAAGGCTTCTTGAAGGAGGTACCCTAGAACCAATCCTGGTTTCAGAGAGAGGTGGCCTGGGAGGGAAGTAACCAGTGAAGTAATCAGTGGTGTCCTTTTCATTCCCAGGAGATCACAAGCTCCCAATTGGATGTGTTCAATGCTAACAGCAACCTCAATTCTGGGCCTCTCCCCACCTTCTCCCTGGAGCAGCTGGTGAACAAGCCGGTGGAAGAGCTCCCCGAGGGTGTAGACCCCAGCAGGAAGGAGGTGAGTTGGGCTCACCAAGCAGAATAAGAAGACAGGGCTTGTGGATTTGTTGAACAGCCCAAGTGACCTCTCCTCATTGTGCCCTGCAGATGAAGAGGTGTTGGGGGGCCCTGGGAACAATACAGACCGGTCCCCTGTATGGTGGGCTTGTGTCCCAGAGGCAGCGAGAGATCAAAGATGCCTACTCACCCTAGTGTTTTAGTTCAGTGGCCACAAATGCCACAGAGGTGAAATGCAGGTGCCATCAAGAGTATTTAAAACAGGAACCTGTTTTGGTCAGAGAAGATTGCATCCTGAAAGGTGAATAGGAATTCTTCAGGCAAAGCGGAGTGGGGAGGGTTTATTCTTGGAGAAAAGCACAGCATAGAGTCCAGAGGCGAGGACTAGCATGGTGTGTGGTGAGACTGCAAGGTGGCCAGAGTGGCTGCCTGTTGAGAGCCAGGCAGAGGCAGCTGGTGAGGAAAGCAGAGGCTGAAGCGGTACCCTCTCTGCCACGTGAGGGATTATACTCTTAAAAGTGGAGGGAAACCCTATGGCTCGAAGTAGGGAAGGGAGGTCAGATTTGCATTTTGAAAAGATCGCTAGAAGCTTCCTGTGAAAAATGGATCGTAGATGGCAAAGCAGCCGTAGATCAGCCAGGAGTACAGTGCAGCTGCCAGGCCGGGAGACAGTAGCCCAGGATAGCCGGTGGCTATCAACGACTCTTGGTGATTCCTGCATAAAGGGTATGTGAGAGAGGGGAACAATGAGTTGTTCTCTGAGATGAAAAAAAAAAATCCTGGGTCAGACTGAACTGAACCTGTTGCCAATGAGTTGATTCTGACTCACAATGACTAGGGGGCACAGTCTGTGCTCAACTACTAAGGGCTGGTAGTTCGAATCCACCCAGCAGTGGTGTGGAAGATAGGCCTGGTAATCTGCTTCCAAAAGGTCACACAGCCTTGAAAACCCGATGGAGCAGTTCTACATGGGGTTACCATGAGACTGAACATAGAGAGGGGGACAAGCATGAGTTTAATGGTGGCCATGTTGTTTGAGGCCCTCGTGAGACATGTAGGTCAAAATATATGTTCAGTAGGCAGTCAGTCTTTGTAAGTCTGTTAAGGGTTTGGCTTCATCCCCACAACTTTGCATCCTGCCCTTTATCTTAGAGAGTGTGATCCTGTAATTCTCGCCTGCATTTTCCCATCTGTAAAGTGGCCAGAAGGCTAGGAGGTAGTTGTGTCCTCACTGTAGCATTGGGTTGATCACAGTATGAGTGACAAGCTTAGCCTGCCTCTGATACACAGAAAGTATTCTATAAATGTGATTATTCTTATTGTCTGTTCAACAGAAAAAACGGAATTCCAAAGAGGGGAAGTGATTTGCTTACTGTTACATAATTAGTAGCAAAGCCAGGCTTTCTAGCTGAGTAAAAGCCCCATCTTACCATCATCATAACCTGCAGCATAAAGAGAGGATTTCTAACAGCAAGGCAGCCAGTGTCACTGAGCCAGGTGATGGACAGGAGGCGGAAATGGGTGTTATTTCAAATGGAACAAAACCAAGACAAAAAATCCACCATGGTAGAAAGTCCTTAATCTTAGAAATCTATTTTTAAATCAGTCGTCTGTTGCTGATTTTTTTTTGTATCATGGATATAGTGTACATTTTTGCCATGTGGGAGGGTGGAATAGGTGAGCTGGTGACCACAGTGACCATGGGAGTGGGCCTGGCTGCAAGAAGTAGCAAGAGGGTAATCTGAGTGTTTGAGCATCAATGAATAAACCACAGGGAGGTGGATGTGGGCATAGGTGTGGCAGGTAATCAGCTGGCAAGACTGCAGGGTTCAAGACCAGGACAATGGAAAGATACAAGTCCACTGGGAGGGGCAGGCCCTGGTCTCTAGCCCAAGGGGTCAGAGTCCAACAGTCATAACAAAACTGAGGACCCAGTCTGGTTGGACCAGAGACAACAGCGTGGGCCACTGCAGACACCTAGCACACAGCAGCCACAGCTGTGAGGGACCAGGGTGGTGTGACTGCACAGAGACTTGGGTACAGGGCCTCTTCCCCATCCACTAATGCCCAGAGCACTCATTTACTGTCTTCTCCCCAAATGAGGCCCTGCACCACCCTGCCTGGGGGGACGGGGAAGGGTCCCAGGAGCCTTGAGAGAATGCTCTAGGGGCAGGAGGCAAGTCTAATGACAGGTTAGAGAACTAGGGCTTCAGAACCACCTGAGCTTGAAATCAATCAACAGGTGTTTACCAAGAAGCTGTTCAATTCAGGTCTCTCTTCTGGAGTTAATACAACACTCCCAAGGGCAACCCCCCTTAGCAAAGCATCATGATATTTAAAGGCAGCCAACTGCTCTCAGCTACCCCATCCCATCTTGGTGCCTCGAGGAGCAGGGATGAAGGCTAGGAGAAGCAGTTTTATAGCAACTTTGAGGTTCTTGAGTTGCCTTGCGGGTATTTGGCTCGCTTTAAACAGCATCAGCATCTCTATCTTATGTTAGAGTTGGGCTGAATGCTGTTTCAGTCCATCCTCTCATTTTATGGCCTACAAAGGTAGTGACTCCCAGTTGTGACTTCCAAGCCAAGAACGGAAAGGTAGAATTTTACTATTTAATGCTTCTAGATCTCTTGTAGGACAAAAGAAGCCAGGACAATTCATTTAACTAGTTTGTTTTCTACTCAAAATAAGCTAGGCAAAAGCTCTCTCTAAACCTGTTCTTTGGACTTCCTAGCTGCTCCTCTTAGGATCCTCCCCCCACCTCAGTTGTACCCCACCCTCCTGCCATCTCTAAGCAAAACGGCTCCCATGAAAGAATCTGGCTGATACATTCCCGAGGGAATATAAATGACTGATAAGGTCCAACATACTACCTTTTAACCGGAACCTGTCAGCTAAAAAGGATGAAGTTATCTATGATGGTAAAATTCCATCAGCTACAAACATGATAGTATGCTGGGCAGGTCAGAGAAGGAAAGATAAGAAGCCTTCATAGTAAGTAACCCTAAAATCACGCCAGGAAGGGAGAGTCAGTGTAGTTCAGTGGGACATTGTATGGGATTTGGAATCAGGTAACTCTCAACTTCAGCTTCACCACCAAAAATGGGAACATTTGACTGTGCTTCATCTCTGTAAACGCTACCGTAGCACACGTAGCTTAGAATGCCACTGGCTCTGCCCACTTAGGGTAGGGGTGGCCCTATTTCCCTTACAGCCAGTTGGCTAAAAGCCCTTCCCAAGGGTGATGGGCTCTTGCTTAAAGAGCCATTCTCCTGTGATAACAGCAACTAAATCTTACATATCCAGACTCTGGCCAACTCCCCCATAAGGCCCATCTGCATACTCTCTGGGGCAGGCTTCTGTAAAGGATCCCCTCACTGTGGGTTTATGGCTAAGTGTATATAGATGAATGAGCTAATTTGTTTTCAATGACCTTTAATTTGTGATGTATTTTTTCCATCATAAAAACTTACAAAGCAGAAAAAACTGGCATGTAAGAGATGTCTCCTGTTTTTTATAGAGAGGAAACTAAGACCTTGAAAGGGAATCAACTTCTTAACCAAGCTTAGAAAATGTCTGAATTCTTATTTGGGGGCTAATGTGAACGTGACCTTGGCCAAAGGAAAAGGAACTCAAGCTACCGCATTACTGTCCTTTTCATTATGTTCCAAATGCAATCATTTAGGGAGCTAACTTCTGGAACCCCAGAATGCTGTCCCTGTCCTCTCTATCTCTTCCCTGGCTCTAACAACATTGCCTGCTTCTACTCTGCATTTAATTGCTACACCTGTATGACTCATCCGGGAGCCCCTGGGTGCAGGGGGTTAGCACAGCTGCTGACTGCAAGGTTGGAGGTGTGAGTACACTCAGAGGCATCTCAGAAGAAAGGCTTGCCTACTTGCTTCTGCAAAACCAGCCACTGAAAACCCTACAGAGCAGTTTTACTCCAACACATATGGGGTCACTGTGAGTCAGAACTGACTGAGTAGCAAAGGGTTTATGTGACCCATCAGAGTAAACCCTGGGCAAGAATGTGACCTCTGCCCTCTCGTTCCTCTGCTTCTAGGAGCACCTGTCCCTTGAGGATTTCACAAAGGCCTTGGGGATGACTCCAGCTGCCTTCTCTGCCCTGCCGCGATGGAAGCAGCAAAACCTCAAGAAAGAGAAAGGACTGTTTTGAGAAGCATCGCTGCAACTGTACAGCACCACCCTACCCTGCTTGCAGGGTCTCTCTTTATTCCTGGTATTACCCTTTGCCAATTGAAGCATAAATTTATAGCTGTGCCTGTGAGCAGCAGAGCCTGTGGCAATGCCATCTGTTTGTAACCTGCAGAGGATGGCTCCAGGACCCTGTGATCCCAATTCCAGCTCTCCAGAGGGTGGCTGGAGCATTTCTACCCTAGGGTTCCTCACTGTGAACCACGCTGCTCTCGTGCTCTGGCCTCTTAGCAGCGGTCACACTCCACAGCACTGAGCCGTCCCCAAGGTTTTCTCTATCACAACTCATTTTCATCCATGGCAGGTGGGCTGCAGCACTAGTTTTGCATCGTCCCCAGAGTAATGGCATCTTTTCACATACTTCCTTCACTGCCTTTCCCAGGCCGTAACAATTACGGGGACCCCTTTTTTTAAGGCAGAGTTGAGTGGCCTAGACACCTCATTAGACTTCACAATATCGACTAACCAGTACTTAACTCAGTGAGTGCAGCATACCCACTGGGTCTAGGCTTGGGGCAGATAAAAAGTGCAAATGTTATTTCAGCCTCTCTCTGGTACCCTTCATGATAAGGCAGATGAAGAGCTCAGCTAAGGCCCATGGTGGATACAGGCTGTGACCCAGAAGCCTCTGCAAAGCTCCCAGGCTCCTCAGATGGAAACAAGGGAACCTGGTGGTGACTCTGGCCCTACGCTGGTTTGCCAATCCATGTTGTTTAAGGTGTAACAGTGCTGCACAGCAGGAGGGTCAGAAGGCCAACAGACTTCCACAGCTTCAACACCTAGCTTTAAAAATTGTCTGCAAGAATGTGCCCTTTCCAGAAATAACAGTCAAACCAACAGATTAATAAAGGCTTTAATTTCACACAAAAAAACTCTGCATAATTTAAAAAGGAAACAAAAACAAAGAAAGACCATAAAGGATACAAAGGAATAGTTCTGCTAAAACACAGATAAAGTGCTGCTCCACACAAACCAACATAACGAATGAGAACCAAAGTCACTCAGAACAGAGGAAAACCACTTCACATGTGGCCGAAGCTGCTGGTCAGGCCAGTGGCAGCTTGATGAGGAAAAATGCAGGAACCCACTGTTCTCTCCATAAGAGTAAACAACACTGACAACTGGCCAGAGAAGCTGGGGCAGGAAGAAAAAGATCAGAGGGAACAAAAGGGAAGAGAGGGGCACACAACCCCACGTAGTCTCTCTTCAGACAGGCCCGCTCTGCTCCTGAAGTAGACCAGTTCAGCTGGCTGCTCTGTGTCCTGGCACTAAACCCTTTGACAATGTGGGTCCTGATCAGACCGTCCCACGCTACTTTTATGCCAGTGGAGGTACCTGTATTCTGAACCTCTGTAAGGAAGTCCAGCACTACAAAGATCGACTGTTTATGTTCACACGGGCACGTTTTTTATGAAATACTTAAAACCGCAGACCCGTGGCACCCACGGAAACAATTTACCAACTGTGTATAAACAGGAAACAACAAGAGAGGCGGCCTGGAGTCTAGTGAGCGAAGCACGCTGTAAAGGGGCTTATGACTGTGGGAGATGCAGCAGAGTAACTCAGTCACAAAACTCTCAAGGCCCAAGAAGCTAGTTTCCCAGTAAAATACTTTTCCAGATGTTAATAAGCCCTATCAGTTGAGGCAGCATTAGAATTCTGAAGTAATGCATTAGGAAGATGTCAGCGGGCAGGGGTTTAATTTTGGTATACATTTCAAGAGGACATTACTCAGTGTAAAGGAAGATGGGGAGGACAAGGGCACATCTGTTGTACTGGGACATTTTTTTATGTGACTTAGTGCTTTTGGTGACTCTTCTAAAAATCTCCGCATATATACAAGATCCCTATGTACTTGGTGATGTAGTTCTGGTTCCCTGATTAGTAACAAAAGACCAATAAGGGGCCAATTAAATCAAACAGGGAAAAATAAAGATTGGGTAACGAAGAACATCCACGGAAATCATTTCAGGGAATAGAGAAGAGTGAAAGGGTATTTCTTGTTTTAATATAACCTTTCGGTAAATCTTAAATGAGTTTATACACTACTCTTTTTCCTGTATGTTCTCCAACTGTCCTCTCTACACCCAGAACACTTAACTGTGTATCTGAGACACTGTCAAGAACCTTTATTTAGGTGTCTCCAGTTAAATTTCATTACACAACTCTACATGTAGCTGTGCACGTGTAGAGCTGCACATATACAGTTATAGAATGCTAACTACAATATGGAACCATTATAACTGTGAAGTACTGTGCTGAGGTTTTAATTCTTAAACCTTATCTTTTAAATGATTTTATACTTGATCAAGGAGAGAAATAGAGGTGTAGCCTAGTTTTTGCCTCTTGAAGTCAATTAACTGATTTATAATACAATGCATACTTCTTAAAATGTAAACACATATACATTTATTAAATCTGTACTCAAACCATTTAAGTTAGACCAGAAATTAACAGACCTTTTGGTAAGTAAACAAATAGCTTTTAGAATCAAAATACAAACAGCAGAAGAATCCATGGCTTTGCTACTAATTCTATCCTGCTGAGACCAAACTCAGGAGTGTGGACAAACATATATACGATGGTTCACTACAAAACAAGAGTCTATCTTCTCAAAGGCTGAAATTAAAGTCCCAGAAGCTGAAGTGATAATAGCATCTGGCCACATTCAACTTTCCAACTCTCCATAATATTAGGTAAAAACAATCTCTAGTTTTGTTAGGTTTATGTTTCTCTTTTAAAAAACTCCAACTAGAACAAAACTACTGTGTGCAGAACTAAGTGCTGTCAAGTTCCAATTCAAATATCATTTAAAGTAATATAACCACACATTTGGTGTTTTCAATGGGAAGATTATTGTGCAGACTGCCTGGAACTCAAGCATCTGTCCTTATCTAACTTGTCTCTTCCTGTCCCCAACATGCTAACTGCCCCATACTCTGATTCTGGGCAAACTGATCACACTGCAAAAAATAATATATTATCTATTTATAATTTTTAAATATATACAGGCACCTCAAAACAAGAATAAAACCTCACTAACACAGTCCAGTTGAAATCTCCATTTATAATCATTAACCCTTCACGGAACTAAAATGACAAAGTAACTTTATTGTGAAAGGAGCGGTAGTTAAAGGAGTGAAAGAAAGGCCACAACAGTGAACAGATATCAAGTAAAATGTGAGCCTATGAGCAGGGGGCTGGCTCATATACCCCAATAACTTATTTTCAACTAACAAGTTCTGCCCAAGACAAGATCCAATCAAATCAGGTTTCTGAGCCAAGTGTACCTCTAAACTGTACACACTTACAAGCTACCAAAGCAACTCCACAGATTGCTTCAAGAGACAACCCAGACTCATGGCATTATTTCTATTTTTCTTTATGGCTTAATGCAGTCTTCACTTAGAAACACTCCCAATAATTTTCAACAGCACCTCTCAGTGCTCTCGAATATGGCCATGGAAGGAAAATAATAAATAGGTAAAGAATTTGAATACCATTTCACTCATTTATAAGGAAACCAGTTATTTTCAAGCAAAAAACACAAACAAAAAAAGAGGCTCCCCGGTGGGAATGAAACAAAATTTAAAAGCTACTTTTTAAACAACCCCCTCTGCTCTACACTATTCCTGCATCTCCAACTAACCATAACAACTGGGAATGTTCACTTGAGTAACGTGTGTGTAGATGGAAGGAGTCAAAGCACTCATCAGTGGTTAAGCTAAAATGCTGATGCCATGTACAATTCAAAGACACTAAATTTTAGAATAGTTCACTATGTCAGAACACATTCAGGTTCTAGAGTGTGGCTGGGGCTCTCTCAAGGAAACTCATGAGAAAAGATGTTGTATCCTCTGTGCTGTTGGATTTTAAAATGTTCTCTTCCTCTGAAAAACTGATGTGGTCTTGTTCCTACCTCAGAACTGAAGAGTAATCTCCGTCATTTATAAGAGCAAAAAAGAAAAGAGAATACCAAAGGTTTTATCTTGCTACTTAACTGTGAGGTCCAACTGATTTCTGGGCTCACAAAATTATTTTGTGGACAATTCTTCCCTCAAACTCATTCTTTATATGGTTCCACAAGTGGCTTAACCAAGCTGGTTATGTTGGCTGAGTGACTCATGTAGTGCTTTATGCTGTACCTTCATTTAGCCTCAACTCAAAGCACCTAAAAAGAAAGATAAATACATTATGCACCTCTGTTGTTAGTTCTTGGGATTACCTGAACCAATCACATTTTCATTTCCTGTTTCAAGGGCAAAGACAGACAGCAAATGGTTAAATGTTCAAACTTTATCCTACAGCTTTGTACTTTATTTCACCTCGTGGTAGGGCTTTTACCTTTACTGGTCCAGAGGTTTATGCTTTAACACAAGAACACTCCTCTTGACCTAGAGTGTCTGAGAAGCCAAAGATACTAGCATCATTCCCTAACCCTAGGCACCCCTGCCAACCTTTCAAAGACCTGCTGGGGAGTACCAACCAGGACAATATTATCATCTCACCTCTTTAACATTTTGGTTGCAACCTGTTAGGGTAGTGCCTATTCCACAGAAGAAAATTAAAAGACTCTATCTTTATCACCACAATAATACAGATGACACACGACGAACACACTGGGTGAAGGATTCACTACAAAAATGCAGAGTATACAACGAACACCAGACGTGGGACCAGAAGACATTCCAAAGCACCAACAATCCATTTTTTGGGACTGCATGTAAACAGCAAAGGCATTACAAATCCATAGAAATGATTAAAAAAAAAAAAGAAAAAAGCTCCTCAAGTCAGGTGACAGAAATTCTCCTCCCTTGTAGTAAGGAGGACAAACTGTCATTAGTGTAACATGTAGAGCTGGCTTTCCAGTGAACTGAACTAAAAAGAAACATATGAAAGATTATAGGTTTGAATGAAACTACTCAAGGAACATGAAAACGAAAGCTAACTGGTATGTGTGTACCTCCACACATTTCTCAGGTGAACAGAGTCTTTGACATCTTCATTTCTTCTCCAAACTGCTGTGCTATTAATTTTGAGCAGGCATACCCTGGTGACTCACCCTAACTCTTTAAGGCTCCATTCATTCCGTGTGAGTGTGTGTGTGTGTGTGTGTGTGTGTAAGAGAGAGTGAATGAGTGTATTTACACATATCTATTTACATCACATATTCCTAAGACAATAGGAAGTGCCACTCTTGCAGGAGGAAAAAAGGATAATCACCTACAGATATGGGACCAAGGGTTCTATAAAACAGTCAGCATGGAGCATTCAGCATAATTACAATTTTTGTCTTTTGTTTTGGCCCTGAGCTGTGTGTTGCTCCCACATCAAGTAGAGTTCCAAATTCTCTTCGGGCAGAGGGAGAGTGAAGTAGGCAGCAGTAAAAGAGAATACGCAGTGCATACTGCCAACCCAGGAGTTTATTCCTCACGAAGCCTGACGAGTGGTCTTCCCTGCTTCCATGTTAAGTGCCTGAGAGTTCTTTTCTGTTTCCAGCAGCTCATCAAAGATCTCCCTTAAAATAAAACAGGAAAATTAGGTGACCAAAACAAAAAAGACTGGAGAAAGAACAAAAGAAAATGGATACTATTTAAGCCAGTACAATTCCATCTGGTTCCTTCTTCTTGTTAGTTGCTGTTACGTCAGTCCAACTAACTCACTGTGACCCCACGCAACATGGGGTGAGACACTGCCTGATCCTGTACCATTTTATGGTTGGCTGTAGAGTGGACTGTTGTGATCCACAGGGCCTCACTGGCTGATTTTCAGTAGACTGCCAGGCTCCTCTTCCTGCTCTTACACTGAAGGTGCTGCTGAAATCTGTTCAGCATTGTGGCAACATGCAAGCCTCCATCAACAGCAGGAGGTGGCTGCACATGAAGTGCACTGGCCAGAAAGTGAACCTGGGTTTCCCATGCAGAAGGTGGGAATTCTACCCCTGAACTATCTCATTTGGTGCCTATATTTCATTAAATAAGCAGCTCGTTCATTCAACCCCCTGGGTTCTGACTTTTGTGAACAGTAGAGGAGACTGGAATTTAATAAAAATTCTATGTAGTTCCCATCCATATGGAACAAATAAATCATCTAGCTGATTCAACAGGAAGACCAAGTTTCTAACAGTAGGACAGCTCTTATCATAAAAACAGTCCAAGTCCCATACCTAGACGCTGCTGTATGATGAGTAATTAATGCTGAGTGAGGAGACAAAATATTCTGGACATATAAGGAAATATCAAGAGACAAGCCCAAAGCAAAAATAACAAAAATGAAAAACTGCCAACCAATCAAGCAATGGGAACATTTTATCCTCCAAGCAAGGGTTTGGGTAATTTTTAGCCTGTGGCTTTGGATCTGGTGAAATTTCTTACTTGTGCATATAAAAGAAGATGTAACCACTTCGATCACGATCACTCTGCACGGAAGCTTCTTGGATTTTAGATACCTCTAGGTCATTATAAGTAAACCACGCCTGCTTCTTAATGTCATACACATCACTTATGTAATGACCTGAAAGAAATAAAATCTTAAAATTCAGGGTTTTTTTTTTTAAATGTACTGAATTTTTTTTCAGGTACAGGAAATTTCAGAAAGAGGAACAGCTACCCTGTCTCCCGTCCCCACACCAATACTTCTGAAAACCATTCAAAAAAACATGTACAAAGAATTAAGGGAGGAAAATACTATACTGGGACAATTATTTTGATAAATATATTTTGCTTAGGGGAATTTAGGTTTTTTAAATTTTTTTAAATGCATTTTATTGAAATATAATTTATGTACAGTGAAATACACAAAACTAAAGTGACATGGGTCAATGCATTTTTTTTTTTTTTTGAAGTGCTTCCTCCCCTCCTCTCCCACCCCTGGCAACCAACAAGGAAAGTTTCCCCTCCATACATAAACTTTTCCTTGACCCTCCACAACAACGAACTAACACTATATTTGTCCTTCTGTGATTGACTTATTTCACTCAGCACAATGTCCTCCAAGTTCATCCATATTATGCGGTATTTTGTATTTTGCAGACTTTATTCTTTTTTTTTTTTAATTGTGATTTGGGTGAAAATTTACAGAGCAAATTCAGTTTCCATAAAGCAGTTCACATACACTTGTCTCATGACACTGACCACAATTCACCACAATCCAACAGCTTCCCTCCCACTTCCTCCCGACAGTCACCTCTTCTCTGTGTTCATCCCTCCACGCACCCCTGCTGCCTGAGCTGTCTCCCTGTGCATAAACAGCCCTTTTTTCTCCCATGACTGTTCTCTACAAGGAGTGTATTTACCTCAGGTAAATGTTCAACTCCTATGCCTGTCTTTTGCTTGGCTGGAAACCACAGGTGTGGGTTCAATTCTAGACCTAAGGGTAGCTAGAGGCCATAGTTTCAGTGGTTCCACCAGGCTCTATCAGACCAGCAAACCTGGTCCCCCTTTTGCTTTTGAGCTTTGTTCCACATTGTTCTCCCTCTCTATCCAGGGTCTCCTACACAGATCCCCCTCCGAGTGGTTGACATTGGTAGCCGGGCACCATCTAGTTCTTCTGGTCTCATAGTTGTATAGGCTGTGGATCACATGGTGTACCAGTCGCTAGGACTAACTGTTTCCATGAATCTTTGGTTTTCTTCATTCTTCTTTGCTCTGGACGAGGAGAGACCCATCGTTGCCTCTAGATGGCTCCTTGCAAGCTTTTAAGATCCCAGTTGCTACTCGCCAAAGTAGGATGTGGAACAATGTTTTGCGTAGTATGTTATGCCAATTGAACTTGTTGTCTCCTTTGACTATGGTCCCAAGCCCACAGGTTCAACTACTTAGCCTCTCTGGGTAGCTGACTGTGACCAAGAAGTGACTACAACCTTGTCCCTTGTCAGCTCTACTATACACCTGGGAATTCTTACAGATCATACAAATACCCTTATAGACATGGTCTTGGGTACACTCCCTGCTGCATAGACATACCTAATAGTTCAGCCTGTCTACCCATCTATCCACCCATATACCCATGTTTGCCTTCACTGACAATGCAGTACTGTATGTGCAAAAGGGTTCATCTTTGCTGTCTGTACCTCCCATGTACCTCCCTCTTCTACATTATTCTTTAGTGCTGCATAGCATTCCATTCTGTGTATGCACCATACTTTGGTCATCCACTCTTCCACTGATGGGCATGTAGGTTGTGTCCATCTTTTTGCTATTGTAAACAGTCCTGCGATGAACATGGGTGTGCATACACTGCTCCTGTCCTGGCTCTCACCTCTCTAGGATATATACCTAGTAATGGGATTGCTGGGTCAGATGGTATCTCCAACTTCAGCTAAGGAATCGCCATACTGCTTCCCATAGTGGTTGTACTACTTCACAGTTCCACCAGCAGTGTGGAATTTCTCCACATCCCCGCCAGCATTTGTTATTTTCTATCTCACTGAATCTCGCCATCAGTGCTGGGGTGAGACAGTATCTCACTGTTGTTGTTTTGATTTGCATCTCTCTGATGGCCGATGATTGTGGGCATCTCTTCAAGTATTAGCTGGCCACCTGAATATCCTCCTTGGTGAAGTGTTATTCATGTCTTCTGCCCATTTTTCAATTGGATTATTAATTCTTTTGCTGTTGAGGCACTTGAGTTTTCTATAAATCTTAAAGATAAGTCCCTTGTCAAATATATAATTATTGTCAAATAAGAATTTGTTGCTGTCATCTTTGTTATGTGCTTTTTCGTGGTGTCGATTTCTTTGTTCCATATAATTTTCTGTGCTGAGCTTGTTTTGTTTATGAATTGTGTTATCACTTCCTTCATTGCTGTTGTTTTAGTAATTGCTAAGTCTCTGTGCTGGTCCTCTTTTTTATTCTGATGTGAAGGTTTATCATTTTTCTTTGAGGTTACCCTGTGATTTATAGTTTTCTTCCCAAGTTTAGGACAGTCTGTTCTATCTTGCAGTTGTCTTGACTTCCCTACCATTTAGAAGTGCTGTGACTACATAGTTTTTTCCCTCTTTTTGGTTTTAGTTGTCCTCATTTGGCAATTGATGTCTCTGGTTCCCTGTTTACAATCTTGTAGGCTTATTTACTTTGGATAATTCCACAGATGGGTTGGTTTCTGGGTTATATCATCATGTGTGTTGTTGTTGACTGTTGTTCTCTGTCCAAAGGGCTCCCTTTAGCATCTCTTGTAAGGCTGGTCTGGTTGTAACAAATTCCCTTAATTTCTGCTTATCTGGAAATGTCCTAATTTCACCATCATATTTGAGGGACAATTTTGTGGGGCACATAACTCTTGGTTGGAAATTTTCTTCCTTCACAGTTATATACTACCCCATTGTCTTCTCGTCTGCATGGTTTCTGCCAAGAAATCCGATCTTAGTCTTATTGGTTGCTCCTTGTAGATAACTTTTGGTTTTTCCTGTGCTACTTTCAGGATTCTTTCTTTGTCTTTGGTTTTGGTGAGTTTGATGATGATGTTTTGGTGCTTTTCTTTTGGGGTCTATCCTATTTGGGGTTCATTGGACTTCCTGAATGGATATATTGTTATCTTTCATCATCCCAGGAAAATTCTCTCCCAACAAATCTTTGACAATTTTTTCTGTGGTTTTATTTGTCTCTTCTTGTTCTAGAGTTCTGATTACATGTAGATTATTCCTTTTGATGGTATCCCACATGAACCTCAGGCTTTCTTCATTTTGTTTTGATCTTTTTCTGATTTATCCCTTTCCAAAGAAGTGTTCAGGTATTTGCCTTCAATTTCCCTAATTCTGTCTTCCATTGATTCAATTCTGCTTCTTTGCCCATTCAATGTCTTATCTATTTCTGAAAATTTAGTATTAATCTTCTGGACTTCTATGTATAGATTTTGTATCATTTCTAATTTTTCATTTATTTTGTCATTTTGTTCTTGTATTGTCTTTCAAAATTGTTGGAGGGTTTTCTCTGTGTTTTCCTCAGTTTTGTCAGTTGTTTTCCTTGATCTGCCTCTCAATTCGTTGAAGATACCTAAATACAATTATTTTGAATTCCTTATCAGGGAGTTCCAATGCTGCGTCTTCCTGTGCGATATGTTTTAGGTCTGTATCCTGGTCCCTTGTTTCTCCTGCTTTATCTTGCTTCTTTGTGTGGACTGTGATGCTCTGTTGTCTCCAAGGCATTGTGATGTTTTTGTGTGTTTATATTTAATTGGTGATTGTATGTTTGCACTAGTTGATAGCACTTATACACTCACCACCTGTCTCCTTCCTGTTGTCAGCCTCTCGTATGTCCCTTGCCGTCCTTGGCAAACAGAACCTATTCTTAGGCCTCTGGAATCTGACTGAGAATGCTATCACTTTAAAATCCAAAATAGCTGCCTGGGATTTAGGTTTTTTATGAATAGAAAATCAAAAGAGTTATACCCATTAACATAATTCACATTTAATGTGATCAAAGATAGGATTTCCACGTTTTCCTTGAGGCATTCAACTCCTGAAAAGCTAAACACAGAGCTACCGGTTAAGGGGACAAACGCTGGCTTGTCAGGCCATTCATAAAATGCTGAAATCATGATGTCCATTTACCTGAAGAAGAAGTGCTACCAATGTGACTGACAACACTGATGAGCCGATAGGAATGAGGAAGATTTCCCGTCTGGAAAACAGAAGTGGACATAACTGTTAACTCTCCATTTGAATAAGAGCAAAACACTAAATTTAAGTTCAATATCAAAACTGACATGTCCTAAGCTCAGTGTGTGGTATAGTCAGACTCAATAAAAATCCAGTGGATGTACCATTCATACCCTCTGACCAAAGAATTTAACCCTCAACTAAGAATTTGTCCTAATTTATGTATATGAGTATATACATAATGGGTGGATAGATGGGTCAATAGGCTGAAATACTAGGTATGTATATGAAGTGGAGAGTACACCCAAGAACATGTACAGGGTTGAAAGACAGTGGTCCAATAACTTTATGTGTATGATCTGAATTCCCAGGTGTATAATGGGCTGACAAGGGGCAAGGCTGTAGCCACTGCTTGGTTATAGCCAGCTACCCAGAGGGACTGAGTAGTTGAACCTGTGGGCTTGGGACCATAGTCGCAGAGGACATCAAGTGCAATTGGCATAATATACTACACAAAACATTGTTCCACCTCCTACTGTGGCGAGTAGCAACTGAGATCTTAAAAGCTTGAAAGCTGCCGTCTAGATGCTACGATGGGTCTCTCCTCGTCCAGAGCCAAGAAGAATGAAGAAAAACAAATATTCATGGAAACAATTAGTCCTAGCGACTGGTACACCATCCGACCTACAGCTTATACTAGTGAGACCAGAAGAACTAGATGGTGCTCGGCTACTACTGTCAACCACTTGGAAGAGGGTCTTTGTAGGAGATCCTAGATAGACAGGGAGAACCGTGTGGAACAAAACTCAAAATCATTTTGGGGGAAAAAAAAGCGGGGAACAGGTTTGCTGGCCTGATGGAGCCTGGTGGAACCACTGAGACTATGGCCCCTAGCTGCCCTTCAGGTCTGGAACTGAACGCACACCTGTGGCTTCCAGCCCAACAACAGACAGGCGTATGAGTTGAACATTTACCTGAGGTAGATACACTCCTGGGAGAGAACAAGCATGAGAGAAAGAAGGGCTGCTTATACAAAGGGAGACAGCTTAGGAGTGCATGGAGGGATGGACACAGGGAAGAGGTAACTATCAGGAGGAAGTGGGAGGGGAGATGTTGCATTATGGTAAATTGTTGTCAATGTCATGAGACAAAGTGTATGTGAACTGCTATATGGAAAGTGTATTTGCTCTGTAAATTTTCACCCAAATCACAATAAAAAGAGAAAGAAAAGAAAAAAAAAAAAGTATATACATAAAATCATTCACTGTTGCATTACCTATAATAATGAAAACTTGGAACTAACACTATACCTAACAGCTGACTGGTTAGTAGCATATCAACTCAATACCGCATTACGTAATTTTTTAAGAAAAATCATGTGGGTCAGCAACATGTTAACTTTTTTTTTTTTAAAGTCACATGAAGGCAAATAATTATAAAAATTATAATTGAAAGACTATAGTTATATATAAACCAAGGAATGCTGGTGGCACAATGGTTAAGTGCTCAGCTGGTAACCAAAAAGCTTGGTGGTTCAAACCCACCCAGTGGCTCTACAGAAGAAAGACCTAGGGATCTGCTTCTGCACAGATTACAGGTTAGGAAATCCGATGGGGCACATGGGGTCCCTGTGAGTCAAAACAGACTTGACCACAACTAACAAAAACATATGTAAACCAGAAACCATTAAACTGTTCATAAACTTTGTTTCATTAATTCTAAAATATGTAAAACACTGTAATCACACCATGTTCCTCATTCTTTATTACACTGAATACTAGAAACAACTTAAATGTCAATGTTAATGAAAAAAATTAAGTAACTGTTATGCTCATTTAAAGGAATATAATAGTTATTAAAAATAAAATGGTTATAAATAATTTGTCTTAAACAAGTAGAATAAAAACTGTACTTATACTATGACTTTTAAGCATACACAGGGGTAGGGAAGACAAAAGAATGTATCAAAATGCTAACAGGAGTTGTGTTAGACTAGTTAGAATTAATATTGCAGAAATTTTGGAAAACAAAAAGAAAAGCAATTATCTAAAGTCAAAATAAAATATGATTCCAATGAACCTTGGTTAACATCTTAAATTCAATAGCTTTCACTAAGCAACAACCAACTGGGGTTGGTATCTGACTATAAAGGTAATAGAAAGTGGAACCAAAGTATGGCTATGAGTGTCACATTATACTCAGCTCTATCGGGTACATAAAGTGGTCAGGTGTGTGTGATTATTTTCAAAATCTTGTGTGTAATACATAAAATACATAAAATCAGAGCAAAGGGCAAGAGATAACGAAGACCATTTGATAGCTGCCAAAGGAGTAGAAATCAATGTCAATGGAGGAAGAACAGCTCAGGAAAGGAGTGTGAGAAAGGATGCACAACTCAAAGAAGGTAATCAATGTCACTGAAATACAGAAATTTGAATGGTGGATGTTTTTGCTGTGTATATTCTCAACAACAACAAAAATTGCATTTTAAAAAAAGTAGAGAAAAGCAAGGAGGGGATGCAGAAAATGGGCCAGCCACAGAAGCTGATTAGGGGTTGGTGAAGAGAATGAGCAGCAGCAGGAGTACCGACTCTCTGACCAATTCTGTTCAGGGAATGAACCATCACCTCGGCGTTTCTCTTCAGTTCCTCAGCTTCAGCTTCTGTGTATTCCATATCTAAAACATCCTCATTTCCAGAGTCCTCATCAGAACCCAGAGAATCCAGAAAGGAGTTGTTAAACTCTGAAGAACAAAAAGACAAAATGTTAGAAAAATTCTTGGACTATACATAAAGAAATGTGATTAGGAAGGGAAAATTAGCTGGAGGTAATTTTATCATCCTAAGAAAGTATAAAACATATTATTATTAAAGGCTTCTGATCCATCCAGCCCACTCGGGAATAACATCTCAGGAATCTACTATCTATGAAAGAAATGCCCCCTTTTCTTATAAATTTATTTATAAGAGGATCTAACCCTTGCAAGAAAGGAATAACACTAAAAAAGAAAATGACAACCCAATATCACCAACTTCTAAATTATATAAACTGTATATTAGATTTGAATACTTGCAGTGGCTGGTGGGTTTGAACCACCAGACTTCTGGTTAGCAGTCAAATGCCTTAGGCACTACGCCACCAGATAACTCCCACTAGCAAACAGAATTATCCTGACAAAATAGAGCCCATAAAAATGTCAATATCCTTTCATTTTCTTCAATCTTAAATCAATGTAGCTAAAGTTATAATAATGTGCTTCCACTGGAACAACTCATCTTTATTAATGGCTGTAAAGAATTCCAGGAGCATGTGTACATAAATTTGCTTTAAAATATAAAGAAATCTCTAAGCGCTAGAAGTTGACAGGACTGCCTTCTTTTGTGTCTTGAAAGTTTTCCGCCTTTAATAGGGTGCAGCCTTACCACTTTTCTATCGCTATTAGTGGGAAATATGAGTTTTACATTTCATATAGGTTTCTGCCTTACACAGGTTCTGGCTTTTGCAAGTTTAATTCCACTAAAATCACAGTATAAACTCCAACAAACTCACTGCCATTGAGTCGATTTGACTCATAGTGACCACTCCTGGGGCTTCCAAGGCAGTATGTCTACAGAAGTAGATTGCCCAACCTTCCTCCCAAGGAGGGGCTGGGTTTGAACCTCCAGCCTTCTGGTTAGCAGTTAAATGCCTTAGGCACTACGCGACCAGAGCTCACAGTATAGGGTTTTTAAAAGACATGAACATGTATGAATGGGAATAAGAAAAGAGATTATAGTTACCAAATTTTTGGAAGCTGGTAAGAGGGAGAGTGACTGATTAAGCAGACCCAAGAAATAGCATGCCAGTAATGGAAAGTTCTGAGAACCAATCCAATTTATATCACAGAATTTTTAAAAGACTCAAGACTTGGAAGTACCAGATAGTTCTGAAGTGGGCAAGTAGGGGATGGTGGGGTAAAACAAGGATCGGGGTAAAAGCTGTTTTGAGAAACAGACTCCTAGATTCGCTAGCCCCCTCAACTTCATGCTGCTGAGGAATGACAGAAGTGTGGAGCTCTACTGTCTGGAGAGAATAAAATGAGTCTCTGGCCTGGGGAATGTCAGGCACAGGTGAGGTCATGAGCACCATCACTGAAAATGGGAGAAAGTGATAGTATCAAGTCATGAGTATAAGGACTCCCACCCTCTAGCCCTACTCCTATATCTGGCTTCCAGAACCCCGAAGGCCACATGTTTTCTCTTCAGGCAAGAGTTTAGAAAACTCTTCTTTAGGAATCTGATGAGCCCAAAAGAAAGGGCTAAGAGTACTAACATCTCAAAAAAAATCCCACCTTGTAAACTTCAAAAGTTGACAAATTTTATCTATCCATGTGCTCAACATTTCCAATCATCTTTTTAGTCCTCCATTCTTAATCATGTGCTGACAGCCAAAGATTACCAGATATCTGAGGAAAAGTCTCTAACAAGGACTATAAGGAATACAAGAACCATAATAAACATAAAAGGATATGGTATGAAGGAAATAACTTTTTTTTTTTTTTTTTTTCCAGGAAGAAGAAAACTCCAAACAAGTAAGCACACATTCTACACTTAATAACTTTGGAGAATTAATATTGCTCCCATGAAAGAAAAAAACAATCTTATAAAAATGAACTTTCAACAAACAAAATTGTTCTTCAAAATTAGAAACATGATAGCAGAAATAAAAACTCAACAGAAAGTTAGGAGATGGAAATAAGGTTGGAGAAACCTCCCAGAGAACAAATTAAAATGACAAAAAGAAAACTGGCAAGAAGAAATCAGAAAATCAAAATGGCCAGACCAAGAGGTCTGGATAACAGGAGTTTCAAAAAAGAAAACAGAGGGGGAAAAAAAGAACAAGTAAAATAATACAACAAAATTTTCTAGAATTAAAGGACACAAGTATCTAGAGACACAAGTTATAAGGTTTCCAGAAAATTTAAGTCGCATCCCTCTTTTTCAAGAAGCTACTGGAGAATGTTCTCCACCGGAACATGAGTAGATCAAGAATAAGGGAGAATGATACAGGAAATGGGAAATTCAAACAAAGGAGAGAATCAAAGGGAATCCCCAGGAGAATGGTGAAGGGAGGTCTCTGGATATCTGTGCATAGATGTGGAGGTCAATCAGTCTAGATTGGAGCAATATGACTCAACAGATAGTCATCACTGCCACCACTGTACCATCTTTTAAGCCAGAGAAGATTACCTGAGAAGCCTAGCTTAGTTTATTTGTAACTTTGTCTAAACCATGTGCCAATGAAATTTCTGCTTTCTCCTCCATGCCATATTGTCTACATCAGCCTAGAACCCTCATTTTGTACCACTATTCTGTTTTGATGTATTTCTGAGAGCCAGAGAAAGACCCTTTGTGAAATTTTATTATTTGATCCATATATCAATTCTGTCAAATGCTAACACAGTAGTGAACCTCATGTATCTAAATACTTACTCATAACCTTGCCCACTGACTTACCCAGAGTGATTCATGTGGAAACTGAAGCTTTATTATCTTCTCTGAATATTTAATAGTGACAGTATAGCTCTTTCATTATAAAATAGATTATCCCTGTTATTTAGTTTTTCAAAATTAAAAAATACATTGTTTAGGAACATGGACATAGTTGGTAAAATTATAAAGAAAAGTAAGCTCATGGTTAATACAAACATAAGAATAATGGTTTCCTCTGGAATTATTACTAGAGATTAGAATACGAAAGATGGAAAAAAGAGAAGAATCACTGGTAGTTGGAAAATATGGCCGTGGTGATAGAAATGACACTGGAGACCGTATAATAAGAGTTTTGCAAGACCAACCATTTATTCATCGCAAATATCTTTTTCTACAATAAAAACAGTGACTATACATGTGGATCTCACCACATGGAATATCAGAAATCAGATTGACTGTATCTGTGGAAAGAGGCAATGGAGAAGCTCACCATCTTCAGCCAAAACAAGGCCAGGAGCTGACTGCAGAACAGACCACCAATTTCAAACTGAAGTTCAAACTGAAGCTGAAGACAATTATAACAAGTCCACGAGAGCCAAAATATGACTCTGATTATGTCCCACCTGAGTTTAGAGATCATCTGAAGAACAGATTGGACACACTGAACACAAATGACTAAAAATCAGACGAATTGTGGGATGACATCAAGAACATCATACATGAAGAAAGCAAAAGCAAAGGGTCATTAAAAGACAGGAAAGGAAGGAAAGATCAAAACGGATGTTAGAAGAGACTCTGAAACTTGCTCTTGAATGGAGTGTAGCTAAAGCAAATATAAGAAATGACAAGATAAAAGAGCTGAACAGAAGATTTCAAAGAGCAGCTTGAGAAGACAAAGTCAATTATTTTAATGAAATATGCAAAGACCTGGAGTTAGAAAACCAAAAGGGAAGAACATGCTCGGCAATTCTCAAGCTGAAAGCACTGAAGGAAAAATTCAAATCTGGAGTCGCAATACTGGTTTTAAGGGCAAAATATGGAATGATGTAGGAAACATCCAAAGATGGAAGGAATACACAGCCATTGTACAAAAAAGAACTGGTCGATGTTTATCTATTCCAGGAGGTGGCGTATGATCAAGAACCAATGGTATTGAAGGAAGAAGTTGAAGCTGCACAGAAGGAACTGGTAAAAAACAAGGCTCCAGGAATTGACAGAATATACCACTTGAGATATTTCACTAAGCAAATGCTGTGCTAGAGGCATTTACTCATCTATGTCAAGAAACCTGGAAGACAGCTACCTGGTCAACTGACTGGAAGAGATCCATAGTTGCACCCATTCCAAAGAAAGGTGATCCCACAGAAAGTGGAAATTACAGAACAGTATCATTAGTGTCACATGCAAGTAAAATTTTGCTCAGGATAATTAAAAAACGGTTGCAGCAGTATATTGATAGGGAACTTCCAGAAATTCAAGCTGGATTCAGAAGAGGATGTGGAACAAGGGGTATCATTACTGATAGCAGATAGATCATTGCTGAAAGCAATGAATACAGAAAAAATGTTTACTTGTGTTTTACTGACTATGCAAAAGCATTCGACTGTGTGGATCATAGCAAATTATGGATAACATTGAGAAGAATGAGAATTCCAGAACACTTAACTGTGCTAACGAGGAATCTGTATACTGACCAGGACATTTGAACAAAACAAGGGGATACTGCATGGTTCAAAATCAGGAAAAGTGTGCATCAGGTTTGTATCCTTTCACCATACTTATGCTGAGCAAATAATCTGAGAATTTGGACTATACAAAGAACGAGGTATCAGGATTGGAGGAAGATTCATTAACAACCTAAAATACACAGATGACACAACCTTGCTTGTTGAAAGTAAGGATGACTTAAAAGCACCTACTGATGGGGATTAAAGATTACAGTCTGCAGTATGGAACACATCTGAACATAAAGAAAATAAAAATCTTCACAATTGGATCAATAAGCAGCATAACAACAAATGGAAAAAAGATTGAAGTTGTCAAAAGATCATATTACTTGGTTCTACAATCAACACACATGGACACAGTAGTCAAGAAATCAGATGTCATATTGCACGGGGCAAATCTGCTGCAAAAGACCTCTTTAAAATGCTGAAGAGCAAAGATGTCTCTTTGAAGGCTAAGGTATGCCTGACCCAAGCCATGGTATTTTCAATTGCCTCATACGCATGTGAGAGCTGGACAATGAATAAGGAAGACCAAAGAAGAGCTGATGCTTTTGAGTTGTGTTGTTGGCAAAGAATACTGAAAGTACCATGGATCACCAAAAGAACTAACAAATCTGTCCTGGATGAAGTGCAGCTGGAGTGCATGCTGGAAGCAAGAATGGCCACATTTCATCTCACCTACTTTGGTCATGTTGTCAGAAGGGACCACTCCCTGGAGAAGGATATCCTGCTTGGTAAAGTGCAGGGTCAGCAAAAAAGGGGAAGACCCTCAACGACATAGGTTGACAAAATGGCTGCAATCATGGGCTCAGGTATCGTGAGGATGGTGCACAACTGGACAGTGTTTCGTTCTGTTGTACTTAGGGTCTCCGTGAGTCAGTGTTGACTTGACAGTACCTAACAGTGACAACAACCACTGGTAGGGAGGGGAAAGGAGTGGTACATAGGTAACTTCTCAAGTTCTCTTTCTTTACCTGGAGCTGTTCAAATTTGTTACTATTATTAAAAATAATGGGCACATACACATTTTATATGCTCTCTTCTGCATGTGATATGTTTCACCCTTTAAAAAGTGTAATTAAAATAATCTCTGTACCTTGAAGACTTAACTCTGTAGCTCTTTTGATGTCATCATCTTCCTTTTGTTCCCAAGCCTCCTAAAGGGACAAGGATAAAAACTAAGGTATTTAAAGAAATTACTGATTGAATTTACTTAATGAGAATAAAACCAGCTTCTCTGAAGTGTTTGCTAATGCTTTCAGAACCTTAATGATCTTTGGAATATGGCCCTTTGAGGGACATGGGGAAGTTCTTCACTTTTTGCAACACTGTCTTATTAAATGCTATCTCCTCTGGTCAATGGCATTTGGCTTGCTAACTGAAAGTAATTCAGTATGACATGATGTAATTCTTTTTCTCCTAATATGTGTAAAATGCCCGGCACATAGGAGATTCTTAGCAAACTGCTCCCTTTCCTTTCCCCTGACTCACAGCATTTGTTGATTTTCAAGCAATAAATACTCAAACCATGGTTGATTTCAAGCCACCAATGTAATGATACTGAAGGCTTGTAAGAAGTATGCTCAATTGGCTCTCTATTCCAATGACCTTAAGTCTATGAAATTAAGACAAAGAGTATTTCCTCAAGATATTTATTCACAGGTTTCTATTTTTTCTCGCCAAATAAACCAAGATATGTGATGCTTGGTTACATACTTACTCAATTAATACTGTTAATGGTTAGTTTTCTGATAAATCTGAAGTTCTTCTAAAGAAACAGTAGTACCTCCAATATCTACTAAAAATGTCTTATGTCAACTAGATGACTATTTTAATGATAAAAATAGGGAAATGTTTGCTGACTATTAAAAAAAAAAATTCCTTCCTCATCTTCAGAGAAAAGACAATTTACAAATGATGCATGAATGAAGAAATATAATTTAAGTAGAATTATTTTTTTCTTTTCTAAATTCTGGACTTGTTAAAATGACAAAACTACGTTAAGAAACTATGAAAAAGCTAGTCTGCATTATAGTCCTAGGAACAATAATATTGTATTCAAGAAAGTAACAAAAATATTATCTAAGAAGAAATAAGATTGCTTCAAGTTACCCAAGTATATAAAGTCTACTCTGAAACTAGAAAGTGAAAGACTCCATTTTTAGTTATTTGACAGAATGATGTAGAGACTAAATTAAGAAATTTCATCTTATAAACCTATTCTCACACCTGAGGAAAATAGGGTAATTTTAAATGGATTAGCAAGACAAAAAATAGTATTATAAAAAAGAGTAGTGTTAAACTACCTCCCTTTGTACACCAGAAGGAATAACTTCTAACAAATCAGACCTTGGTCTTTTATAGTAAAAGTAACTTCTCTGAAACAAATGATTACTATATGTAATTCTCTGCAAAACAGCTTGACATACATATATCTTATATACACATTTTGATGACAAGACAGCTAGGGCAGTACCCTTTCTAAATAAATAAACACAGAATAGCTGGTTCTGAAATGCTTTTAGAGTAGCAGTTTTCAACCTTGGTTGTACATGAGAATCACCAGGAAAGCTTTTAAAAATGAGGGATTAGGGAAAAATAAAAAAGAAATTAAAACACCCAGACCAAATCCTAGATCAATGACATCAGAATTTCTGAGGGGCAGAAGCCAGGCAACAGAATTTTTCAAAGTTCTCCAGATAATTTTAATGTGCAGTCAAGATTGAGAACCACTGTTGTGAGAAATTAGATTCCATAATCTAATTATTTGAAAACACTAATACTACACAATCATTCTAGGGAGTCTTGGCAAATTTTTATTACAATTTGAACTTGGATTCCACAGGATCAGATAATCATGAAAACATCACCTATCAGTCATATCTCAGGTGACTGCAACAGTGCAAATAAATCAACCAGCTTTGACAAATATAAAATAAAGAGCTAAAAACTGAAGAACAGATTAGCACATAGTGAAAAGAGCAGATAAATGTTTTCCTATAACTAAAATCTGAACATTAAAACTTAGACAAAATTCTGAGAATTTTATGTATAAATTCACAGCAAAACATTTATACTGTGAGAAAATGACCAAAACAAATACCCTGCCTTAAAGTAATAGTAACAACAAAGTCAGGATGATACACTGGATGTTTTTACAGCTTGCAAAAATGCAGTTGAGCTGGGGATGAGTTCTAATATCCCGTATCTTGCTTTAGCATGCAATGAACTACAGTAATGGAAGATACCCCAACAACATACTTCATTGCATTTGGATTTTCAAAACAAAACCACTATTAATTGTTTCTGCTTTAAATTCAAGGCAAAGCCCCCCAAAAATTTGTTTTTTCCTATTGTGGATCAAGGGAGCTCTGGTAGCATAGTGCCTAAGGCACTTGACTGCTAACCAGAAAGCTGGCAGTTCAAACCCACCAGGCACTCCTCAGAAGGAAGGGTGGGCAATCTACTTCCATAGTGATAATGCCTTGGAAACCCAAGGAGGGATCGCTATGAGTCAGGTCCGACTCGACAGCATATAACAACAACAACATTGTGGATCAATGAGTTACTGTGTGTAAATCACTTGGAACAATATGTGAGATATGTCGTAAGTACATGTTGTTATTATATTATTTCTTGGGAAAAGAAAGGTATGGTGAAAGAAACAGCATAACTTACTTGTTCCTGGAGGCTCTGAGCCAATGCCTGCTGAAGCTCTTGCTCTTCCCGTTCACGCTCCATATCATACTGTTGAAGCCAATCAACCTCTCCCTGAGATCCTTCTGGAGTTTTGTTTTCTTTATTCTCATCGCAGTCTTTAGTTATCTCAGTAAAACTGGCAGGATCTGAGGAAGCAGAACATAAGATCAGTATTCAGGATGCTCTACAAACTGCAATGTCTGGGCTAGGGTGACATCTACTGCTCAGACAGTAATCTACTCCACCCTCATGTGTAACTCGGCTGAGACAGAGCACAATGTCATGCTACTCCATCTATGTAATTTTAGCACTACTGACATTTGCTGTGTTGTGAGGGACTGTCCTGTGCCTTGTAGGATACTGAGCAGCATCCCTGACCTCTACTCACTAGATTCTTGGAAAAACAGCCTTTTTGAGAGCCAAAGGGGCAGCTCTGAAAGTTATGACCCTCTCAGCCTCGCTGGCTTCAGGTTACTGGACCAGGAATAGATACATGACTCAACCAATCAGATTATCTCTTCAGCAATTGTGGAATTGAGACATATAAAGGTAACTGATGGTGAGTGCATCAAGTGGAAGAAAGATTTGGCGAGCTAAGGTTGCCATTTTAGGGCTGAAACATATTAAAAAAGTACTAAGAGTATTGTTGTTGTTAATCAATAATTTCTAGCACGTAGGGTAACAACACAGCCCTCAAGCAATCCTAGAGTTACACTAGCACTTACTTCATGTGACAGAAAACAGATCAAAGAGGTTTACTTTGAAATGCTAAATAAAATCAATACACATTTATCTTCAGGACAAAATTATCGGATAGGTACATAAAGTACTTAAAATCTATCACAACAAATGTGACTATGAAATAATCCATTTTTAAGGAACTTGTACAATGGATTAACAGGGGTTCACATGTTAAAACTAAATGTATTTTTATACCAAATATATTGACTGTCTCTTCCTCCACCCCAATTGAAAACTGCTTCGTTTCCTGTATTTTATATTTCAGCAAATGGGATCACTGTCCACATGCTGATGTTGTTGTTGTTAGGTGCTGTCAAGTCAGCTCCAACTCACAGTGACCTTATGTATAAGAGAACAAAACACTGCCTGGTCCTGTGCCAGCCCCACAATCCTTGCTATACCTGAGCCCACTGTGCAGCCACTGTGTCAGTCTATCTTATTGAGGGCCTTCCCCTTTTTCGTTGACCCTCCACTTCACCAAGCATGATATCCTTCTCCAGGGACTGAACCTTTCTGATAACATGACCAAAGCAGGTCAAAGGAAGTCTAGCCATTCTCACGTTCAAGAAATATCCCAGCAGTACTTCTTCCAAGGACAGATTTGTTAGTTCTTTTGGCAGTCCATGGTACTTTCAGTATTCTTTGCCAACATCATAATTCAAAAGCATCAACTCTTCTTCAGTCTTCCTTATTCACTGTCCAGCTCTCACATGCGTATGAAGTGACTGAGAATACACCATGGCTTGGGTTAGGCGCACCTTAGTCTTCAAAGAGACAACTTTGTTCTCAGCACTTTAAAAAGGTCTTTTGCAGCAGATTTGCCCAGTGCAATACATTGTCTGATGTCTTGACTACTGTTTTCATTGATGTTGCTTGTGGAACACCAAGTAATAAAAAATCTTGGACAAATTCAATCTTTTCTCCATTTATTGTGATGCTGCTTATTGGTCTAGTTGTGAGGATTTTTTTTTTTCTTTATAATGAGATGTAATCCATACTGCAGACTGTAATCTTTAATCTTTATCAGTAAGTGCTTCAAGTCATCCTCACTTTCATCAAGAAAGGTTGTGTCATCTGCATATCGCAGGTTGTTAAAGAGTCTTCCTCCAATCCTGATGCCATGTTCTTCTTCATACAGTCCAGCTTTTCAGATTATTTGCTCAGCATACAGACTGAATAAGTAGGGTGAAAGGGATACAAAGGTGACTCACTCCCTTCCTTATTTTAAACCATGCAGTATCCCCTTGGTTCTGTTCAAACAACAGCCTCCTGGTTCCTCATGAGCACAATTAAGTGTTCTGGAATTCCTTTTCTTCTCAATGTTATCCATAATTTGTTACAATCCACACAATCAAATGCTTTTGCATAATCAATAAAACACAAGTAAACATCTCTGGTGTTTGCTTTCAGCCAACATCCATCTGACATCAGCAATGATATCCCTTGTTCCACATCCTCTTCTGAATCCAGCTTACATTTCTGGAAGTTCACTGTCAATATACTACTGCAACTGTTTTTGAATTATATTCAGCAAGATTTTACTTGCATGTGGTATTTACGATATTGTTCAATAATTTCCACATGATGTGCGATCATCTTTCTTTGGAATGGGTACAAATATGGATCTCTTCCAGTCAGTTGGTCAGGCAGCTGTCTTCCAAGTGCCTCCGCGGGGCGACATCTGTTTGTTGAAACATCTCAATGGATATTCATTTAGTCAATTCCTGGAGCCTTGTTCTTTGCCAATTCCTTCAGTGCAGCTTTGACTTCTTCCTTCAATACCACTGGTTCTTAATCATATGCCACCTCCTGAAATGGATGAACACTGACTAAATTCTTTTTGGTACAGTGACTCTTGTGTATTCCTTCCATCTTCTTTTGATGTTTCCTGCATCATTCAGTATTTTGCCCATAGAATTTTTCAACATTACAACTCGAGGCTTGAATTTTTTACTCAGTTCTTTCAGCTTGAAAAATGCCGATCACGTTCTTCCCTTTCTTGTTTTCCTACTCCAGGTCTTTGCATATTTCATTATAATAACTTGCTTTATCTTCTCAAGCTGCTCTTTGAAATCTTCTGTTCAGGTGTCTTAACCTTGTTGATTCTTCCATTTGCTTTAGCTACTCTCCCTCCGTTCAAGGGCAAGTTTCAGAGCCACTTGCGAAATATATTTTGGTCTTTTCTTCCTTTCCTGTCTTTTTAATGACTTTATAGTTTTCCTTAAAGACAGAAAACTGGGGGTCATTTTTTCTTTCTTCCTCTCATTCATCCTTGGCATCAGATAAATCTAAGTATCTCTTCAACTCTATCAACTTCTTTTCTTTTCTATGATAAAACCTTGGTTCAGGGTACCATTAACTTTTGGTCTGAACTATAATAGTTTCCTAATAGTTCTCACAAGATTATTTTTGGTTCTTCTTTAATTTATGTTCTACACTGCAGCCAGAATGATCTTTTTCCAAACACAATCTTTATCAAATGTTTGTTTGCTTATAATTACTGAATAACTCTCTAATGCTTTTAAAATAAAAGTCCAGGTTTCCAGCCAAACAAAACATAGGCATATGAGTTGAACATTTACCTCAAGTAGATACACTCTTTGGAGAGAACAATCATGGGAGAAAGAAGGGCTGCTTATGCACAGGGAGACAGCTCAGGGGGCAGGAGTGTATGGAGGGATGGACACTGGGAAGAGGTAACTATGGGGAGGAAGTGGGAGGGGAGCTGTTGCATTGTGGTAAACTGTGGTCAATGACATGAGACAAAGAATATGTGAACTGCTGTATAGAAAGTGAATTTGCTCTGTAAATCTTCACCCAAATCACACACACACACACACAAATCATATGCACCCTAAAAAAAAAAAAAAAAAGTCCAAACTCTTAAACATGCAAAAACTGGAGATTGCATAACGATGGTGTCACCTTTTGCCTTTGCCTTTTCCTCTCAATACTATACTCCAGCAGTATACTCAATACTATACTATACATGCAGAACATTCTGAACTTCTTTCAGGTCCACTAACTTGCCATGGACTTTTTCACCTCTGACCTTTCCACACACACTATTCTCTTGAGTGGTGTCTGAACACTGTGATGTAGCTAGTCTTCCTTCCTCTCCTCAAATAATTTCACCAGAAAGCCAATCTTGTAGGTCACAAGTATGTATTACAATCTACTATGTGTCAGACATTTTTCTAAAAGCTAATGATAGTGTGGGGTAATTAGGGCAACATGTCCCTTGCCCTCAAGGACCTTACACACAAAGATGAGATGAGAATGAACTTAAAATGTTTGCAGAATAGACAGAGAATGCCAGAATGGTTAAAGTAAGTGAAAAAAGGGGGGAATAGAGACACATCACAGTACTAAGCTTGGATTTTTATATTATGTATAACAGGAAGTCATAATACACTTGAAGGATAGTGACACAGTGTAATTTATGCTTTAAACAGATTATTTTGTAGAGAAGAAAAAGTGGAAGAAAAGGTATTAGTTAGGAATCAGGTGCAGTGGTACAGGTGAGAGATGGAAGGCTAATTGTAGCCATGAAAATGTTGATAAATTTTGGAATTGTATTTCGGAGGCACAGATGACTGAACTTGATGGACTAAAGACAAGGTATGGCATTAAAAAAAAAAGGGGGCGGGGAACTAAGGGAGACAAGGTTTTTGGCCTGAACAGCTGGATGGACGATGGTATCATTTGTTGGTATTAGGAAAGCATATCTGGAGAAAATAAAAATTAGACAGCCAAACAGAAATTTCAAGTACACATTTTAATATGTAAGCTTAAAACGCAGGGTAGACCAAGGTTGGTGGTTCAAACCCACCAGCTGCTCAGCAGAGGATGAGAAGGCAATCTACTTCCATAAAGATTTGTTGTTTGCCATCGAGTCGGACCCAACTCATAGTGACCCCTCTTTGGGTTTACAAGGTGGTTATCACTATGGAAGTAGATTGCCCAACCTTCCTTCCGAGGAGTGGCTGGTGGGTTTGAACCGCCAGCCTTCTAGTTAGCAGTCAAATGCCTTAGGCACTATGCTACCAGAACTCCTCCATAAAGATTTACTGCCTTGGAAATCCAACAGGGGTCCCTATGAGTTGGAATTGCCTCAATGACTTTGGTGCTATGGAAGCTCAGAAAAGAAAGTTTAGAAAGTTTTAAATGCTGAGGAGGGAGTGGTGAATTGTGTGAAATACCACTAATATAAACTTGCTGAAGACCATTCTGGTAGAGTGGTCGGGATGAAAACCTACCTGGAGAGGTTTGAAGAGAGAATGGGAGGTGGTAAGAAAAGTAAAGAGAAAGATTAAAACAATTCTTCCAAGAAATTCTGCTATGAAGGGGAGCAAAACAGAAGCAGGAAGTGGAAGGGAACATGAGGTCATAGGAGGGATTTTTT